GCTGGCTGCCAGCTACACAGGACTGGGGCCCAAACAAACATTTTCAGTTTTACGATACTCTGTATTTCCAAGTGCCAAGGTTTGGAAATTATAGCCACTGTGCGCGGCAGACGCCCACAAACGGATATCCCTCAATTGGCAAACTGCTGCAGCTTGTTTTTCTCATGTTGCTTTGGCCAATAGCGCCAGCAGGACAACCTCACACTTCAACCTTTGAGTTAAATTGTAGAAGTATCGCCCGGCACATATGTGCGGAGGTTCTACATGTTGTTCTCAACAAAATAGTTCAACACCTTTTGCATTTGGCCAAATCAACGCCACCTAAAGACAAATGTGTTGCTACATAGCCTACACGTGGGCGTGTTTCCCCTGTCAAGTTGTTCGCAACTTGACTATCCCCACACGTGACGTGAGCCAGCGGCACACATGTATCCATGCGGCTTGTGTGTTAAATCCCCAGCCAAGTAAATCAACATTCTGTGACTCACTCGGGCTGAAAGCTTCAAAGCATTGACTTCTCCTGTAGGAACTCTGCCAGGGCATTCCTGGCAGCCATCTTCACTTGCTCGCCCATATCGAGTACCATAGTATGTTGAGGGATGGGGCTGATCACCTTGCGCTTGCCTGCCACATTTTCCTTCTGCACATTGTTCTCCACCGGGTGTTCCGAAAGGATCTGGGGCGCCACCTTGTCCACAAAGAGGGCCTTGGGTGTGTTGGTTCAAGTTTGCTGAACCCTCAATTCATAAAGAAGTTCAATCTTCAGGCAAGAGGTTGTAAAGACACTCAAAGGTGTGCAACTTGGAATAACCGATGAAAGCGGTAATGTAGAGCGTACGAGTGATCGAGAAATGTTGTATTGAAGGCAACACTGCCAAAGCAAAGACAAACAACACTCCTACGATGAATATAGTCTAGGTGCAAAGATTTCTGCGGCCTTGAGTGAGGCGCCCATGCTGAATGTCCAGTCGCAGTCTTCTTGATCAATGATGAAATAGGCAAAGTCTTTCCCTGTTGCGCGTAATGTCACCCCTACACTGGACCTAGTCCAGTACACATTCAATCTGCACTCACGAAGCTTGGGAAGTTGAGCGCGCATTGCATCCTTTCCGTTCTCCTCAACATCCTGCAGCGAGCGCAAAAACTCCTTGATTGCAATCTCCTGCTCCTCCAGCCGCGTAGGCACATTGGTTTCCTGGGTCTTTTCGCTGGTGCTGGTCTTGCTTGCGTCACTGCCCCGGGATGCCCTGCGCATTTTTTTGTCTGGTTTTACCTTGGCGCTGTCTTCTGCCGCGGTTTTCACATTGTCGTTCTTCTTGCTGCGCGCTGCTTTCGCCGCTTTCTTTGCTGGTGGCTTGTCCGCTGGAGTGTCTTCTGTCGCACTGGCGCGTTTGCGCCCTTTGGGAGTTGCCTGCTGCTTGGCATCAGCGTTGGGCTGGGTTGCGGCAATTTTTTCTGCGTTGCCTGCTTGCTGCAACTTGCTGCGGCTGCTCTCTGAGTCCCAAAAAGCTGTGCTGTCCCAGGCCCATTGGGTCCATGAGTCCCATGCCGCATTGTCCCAACCTTGCTGCCAGGCATCATTTGTCCCCCAAGCTGCCCAGTCATTGTCTGCACTTTTGGCAGAAGCTTGTCGCTTTGCTTGCTTTGCTGCTTTGCCTTGAAGCGCCTTTTTCTCGGTTGGCTTGCTTTTGCTGTCTTTTGGGTTCTCCTGTTTCTGCTGGTGATTTGTGTCGCTGCGACCCCTGCCTCTGCCACGCCCCTTTCCTCTACCCCTCCCCTTGCCTCTGCCCCGGCTCTCAGTCATGTTCAGCTGCTGGTGTCTTGTGACAGGCGCCGACGGTGGGTCCTGTCAGGGGAGTCACTCAGGCACGGGTGAAGTCCGGGTCCCATTTGCTCGCGTAACATATTTACAACGTACGCTTTGGACACACATAAGAAAACGGTCCTCAGTCTCGCTAGCAGTGAAGGCATCATCTTGTTCACTCTTCGTGTGATGTTTCCTCTTCGCTGGTTTCTTTGGCTTTGGCTGGCTGTCCGGGGAAATCGTAGCTGTGTGGCTGGCGTGGATGTTTGTGTCTCCTGCAGTAGCCGCCATTTTGTCTTGGGGGATTGCTCCAAGGTCTTGGGTGCTTGATGGGGCGGTTGGACCGGTTGGGTGTGAGAAGTCCAGGGTTGCAGACTGTGGGTTGCTACGCTGCTGGTAGGCTGCTCGCCTCTGTGATGAGCTGAGGTCAGGCGAAGGTGTCCCAGGCAAAGGTGGGTCGGTTGGGGCCGTGGCTTGCATCAGGTCGATTGGCAAGGTTTCCAAATTGTCTACTGACACTGCCGGTGCTGGTTGCTGAGTCGGCTGTGCTCCTGCCAAATGGGCATAACCCCCCCTATACTGAAAAAGCTTAAGACACAATGAAGAGTTTTCAATCTTAAAAGGGTTGACAAGGGTGTTAAGATGGCTTGGGTCTTTTGATGCACGCGTCCCGTCCTGAGCTTCCAGACGTAGGCGGGGGCATTCTCTTAGGGTCCTGCGCGCCTTCAGCCTTGCGCTTCTTCATCCTTAGCTGGCCCGCTGAAATGGAATTGGATAGCGCTTTAACAAGTTTGCCCGGCACCCACACATATAACAATTAAGGCAAACCCAGCACACCCCTAAAGGCTACCAAAGGACTTCTCCAGCTTTGCCAGGATTTCCTCCCTCCGGCGTAGCAATGCTTCCTTTCCTGGGTGTTTGGCTGCCAAACAATAGATTACTATAGCTCTGTTTGTCAAAGTCACCAGTTGAAAAAATGAAGAATCATAAATAACCGATCTATATAAACATAGAACGTCACCATCAAGTCAATCCAGGATCCACTATCATTTGCAATAGGATCAGCTGGCTTCTCATGGTGAGCAGGCTGCTTAGGCGAATCTTGAAAGTTTGACATGTCCCCAATGGGTTGGTGCTCAAAGTTTGCTTTCCGATCCTTAGGGCTGGTCTTGTGCGGTTCCAAGAGCGCGGGTTTCATAGCGTCTGCAGCGTGATTTGAGGCTGCTCCTGATGTGGTTGGAAGGCTTGCTGCAGGTGGGGCTTCAGGCGGCTGCTCGTTTGCTGCATTTGCAGGCACAGGCGCCGGTGTTGGTTTACTTGGCTCTGCTGGCTGCTGTTGCTTCTGTTGCTCAGCGGCTTGGCTTGCTGCTTTGTCTGCTGACGCATCCTGTTCTGCATCAGCTGCTTCTACATCGCTGCAAGCCTCATCATCCTCCGTCTCTTCCTCTTCTCCTTCTTCTTCCCCGCTGTCCTTTGTTGCGTTCTCCTCATTCTCGTCCCAAGCATCCTCATCCTTTTTGGTCTCCTGGTGCGCTCACAAATCCGTGCCTATAGCTGCTTGCGCTGGAAACTCTGAAAGAAAAGTATCACATATGATCCAATTCAGTTTGACTTCAATGTAAAGTGGAAATAATCAGTCATGTAAATCTGGGGCGGGCAAGGGTCAAGAGTGAGCTGGGTTGCACCACGGCTCCTTGACCGGCGGTTTCTTGTTAGCGGCTTTCTCGTTGATGCTATCAATGAGCTCCTGGACAGGCATATGTGTCCGCGTAAAGGGTCTATATTGCTTTCATGGATAAAATTGAATAATTCCAAAATTTCCGAAAGGTATGTAATCACTCAGCTCGTGTAAATTGTATTTGCTTCACGTGTGGGGGGCCCCTGTTTTTCCGGCCTCCAAATGCGGGTCCAAGACGAGGCACAAACTTTGGAACTCAGGTACCTTGAGGGACGGAGTGCGCACGAACCCCCCCCCCCCCGAAATTGCTCAAGTAAAAATCGCAAACAAAAACCATTGATTGCAGTAACACGGTCAAGGTGCTGCGCTGACCTCCTTCCTCCTCACCTTCATTTTAACGAACCCCAACAGCTTCCTTATTTGCCAGGCGACCGTTGCCACTTCTGTTCCATCCTCAACGCTGTTGCGTTTGTTGCGGACAAAGGTTGTTTCAACTTCTTCCCTCAGGGCATCAATGCCCGGCACTGGTCTAGTGGCAAGCAAAGACATGCGAGTCAGGCATGGCTGGAGTAGGAGGGCGTTCTTGCAACAGGTGGGAATGTCTTCTCCGCTGCCCCCTCCAGGGTGTAGGAAACTCCCTCCTCCCCGCAAGCGCTCACGCACCTCTTCCACGGAGTCCCATTCGTTTGCGAGGTCAGTGAGGTCTAGCGTCTCAACGGGCTGCTTCGGCTTTTGAGGCATTGCGAAAAAAAAAGAAAAAAAAGAAAGTCCAGGATCCCTTGAAGCCACAAATGGCTTCATTTCACAAACCGCCATGCGCTTGTCCAAGATTGCACCCCGCAACCCGCTGCCCTGCGAGGACTTTGAGCTCCCGGCTGACGTGCGAACTGCTCGTGCGGGAAAATGCCATCGAGCGGGAAAGGGGATATGTGTCAAAAGAAACACATATACTTGCATGTTAATTGACTTCAGGCCCTACACCCCTTTGATCATTCATTTGATCGGTTGGGTTGGATGAATTTGTGGATCGATTGAGTTGGGTGAATTTGCGAATCACAACTAATATATGGCATCTTGTGTTATTGCATGCCCATGTCTGTTTGGGCATCGTTGCCCACCAACTTTTGCATGTGCATGGCCTGACGGCGCGGCGAAGGCTCCTGGGCAGTGCAAGGTGCAGGAAAGGAAGGGTCATATGCATGATTATCGAGGTTTAACCCAATAACCGATGTTTTGTTGGAAAACCCGAGGTTTTCGGGTTGACTCATCAAATACCCAGGTTTTCGGTTTACACCCGACAAATTTCAAGGGTTTGGAAGCGCAGGGTACTACTACTACTACTACTACTAAAACTACTGCTACTACTACTACTACTCCTACTACTACTACTACTACTACCACCACCACCACCACCCCCGCCACCACCACCACCACCACCAGCCACAAACCAACAGATTGTGGTTTTCGTCTTGGTTTCTCTTTAAACCATCAAACGACCCAGCCCCATTCGTTTCGTAGGCCCTGGACACGGTGGAAAAGGAGCTGGCCAAGACCACAGACGACGACGACTCGACCAACCTGAGCCTGGGCAACGCCATTCAGGCCCTGGAATCTCTCAAGGCGGGAATCTGGTTCGAGAACGAAGATGGGTTCGCTTAGGGTTCGATTGAAGTCAAGATGGGTTCGTTTGGGGATGATTCCCCGTTCTTTTTGGCCATCCTTAACTTTCTGGAGGTTTTGTGGAAATCAGGATCGATCTGTGAAGTGGGTGGGTATCAAGACAAGGAAGCCCACAAATCTGGGTGGTTCGCAGCCATCCGGTTCCTTAGGTTTTCAGGTTTTTCGGGTCTAGTGGTCCACATTTAGCCCACTAAAAGTTCGGAGATCTGAGGACAGCCCACAGATGGTTGGTTCCTTGTGGTTTTCCTTTGAACCCACTAACGGGGTGTCCTCAAAAAAGACACTCAAAAAAGGGGCATGTGTCAGGTTTGGACAAGCTGTCGACCATTTGGTGGTGTTTTGCGGATTTTGTCGATCCACAAACCGGCCCTGTCAGTGGTCCTTAGATGGCTCCCCCAGGAACTTGTGCGAATTCCCATTTGAGCCTCCTATTTTGACACATACCCAAATAGAGATGTGGGCCCCACAAGATGGTGGTTTCATCTTGGGTTTCCTTCAAACTAACCTGGGTACCCTCAAACAACATACTCATTTTTGGGGTGTTCTTTGTTTAGGTCTGTTTTAGGGCGGGCTTAGGACTGTTCGGATTGCTTCCTTGTGGGTTTAGGATTATGCTTTGCAGTGGCTTTGGGGTTTGTGTCATGATGGGTTCCGAGGCGGTTTTGGGATCGGTTTAGCAGAGCTACCCTGTCCGCGTCCAAGCGAATTGCGATTAATTGCTGCGGCTTGATAGAGGTGTGCTCCTTGAACAGAGGCCCTTGCTTGCTGCGGCTAGCAAGCATGATGGCGAAGTGTGCTTTCCAAAAACTCAGCTTTGAAGTTTAACTGGGATTTTGAAGTCAGCCACTTGTTGTTTGTTTCTTTTGTCGCTATTAGACAAGCGTCTCACATGTTTGGGCTGTTTGGCGTCTTCCATTTGCCGAATTTGTGATCGGTTGGTGCGTCTCTCAAAATTGGTGAACTGGGGTAGCTCAAACAAACAAGGATATGCTCATTTTCCCCTGCTGGTTTGAACGAGGGGAATGCTCATAGCTGTCAAAATCCTTCTCGCTTTCCAGTAGTACCAGCAAATAAATGGTCAAGACGGTCTTGTCATAATCGATGCAGCAACATAAGCGAAGTCTAATTCTTCATGGGTTTGGGGTAGGCCCGGCTTTGATGCTCTGCCGGGTTTCCCTTTCTCCGTGAAACACCGAAGGAATCTGGCCATTGAAGTTTGGGGCCCTGACGCAGGTGGTTTGAGGTTAGGGAGGCAGAGCTGTTGATACTTCTTGGGGATTAGTTCTTACGAAGTGCCAAGAAGGTACATGAGTCAACGCAAAAAGACACAGGGCAACAGCCACCAAGGCCTTCCAACTGAATCTTAAGAAGACCCCTAAGTCAACGGTAGGGTGCTCACGTTGAGAGTTTCTTTTGTCAGGCTATATACCAATTATTTGGGAGGTTTTACGGAAGCCGAAGAGAGACCAAAGACAGACAGGGGACCCTTTTTACTGGTTCTCACCAGTGAATGAGGGACTATAAATTCCATGCATAGCCTATGGTTTCCTTTCAGCCCCAAAACCGGCTCATTCCAAGCACCTGGCCTCGGTGTCATTCCCTACCTATCGCACCGATCACAGGCGCCAGGCGCTTGTGAAAAAAAGAAGCGGCGGGTCCACATCGCTTCGACTCTCACTTTGGTGCAATTTGCCATGGGATGTTAGGACTTTCACTTTTTGCCAACTAATGTTCCGTATTAAGCCACAAAAAGTTAAACTTTTACCCAGTTGCCCAGTGGCGCCCCTTTTTCAAGTATTCCCCTTTAAACTAAACCAACCAAAAAGAATGCCCTTTCTTCCCATGGCCACTGGGCATCTGAGTTTAGCAGGGGAGCAGAAAGCCACCGACTCTCAGGTGGCCTGGCCGGTGGCTAGCAAGGAGGAGCCGCCGGAGTCCCTGGTGGAACGGATCAAGAAGACCATGGCGGCCTTGGAGTGCCTCGCAAGAAGCAAGTGGCCCTTGGTTGGCCCTTGGCCTTTTTTCTTTTGGCATCCGTGTTTGCCCTGTTTTTTTTGGGCATCCGTTTTTTGGGCTAGCGTTGCCTGTTTATGAGTCACTTTGGGTCTCAAGTTTGCCAAAAGCCCTACTAAGGGTTCGAGATTGCGTCCTGCTTTGGCTCTCTGAGGTCATCCAAGGGTTCATTTGTAGCACCCACAGCCCAAACCCCATAATTACCCTAAGCGGGAATCAACCGCTTGGATCAGGAAGGCATCCACTTCGATTTCAATCAAGGCCCACGCCGGAGCCGAATCAAGTTTCCGTAAAAATAAAACATGGGCCTTTCTTGGTTGCTGTTGACCCCCTGCAAAAAAGTTTTAACTTGTTGGGGGTTTAGCGGAAAACCCCTTGATTTCTTAAAAAGTTAAAGTCTAAAGATCCAATCCAATAGCTGCCAAGCTTTTGCGCATGTGTCACCAAACGGGACCAAACAGGTTCACAAAAGGCAGGGGTTTATCGCCTCATTGCTTCGTACTTTGGACTCCCATCCCCAAAACACCTGTTTCCCCCCACCCCACACGGCATATCGACATGAAACCCAAACACAGAAACACCATGGTGTGCAATGACGAACCTTCTCCTGAGGGGGTTTTGTGTTAATTTGCAAATCAACATGTTGAATACCTTAGACTTACAATAAACCACCATGATACCCACAGTTCTTTTCCCAAAATGCCATCAAAGGGGACTTGAAGTGTTCAGTCCATTGTCAAGCAGGGTCAAATTAAGCAGCGCTCAACACTCAAAGCCTATCGAATTTGGCCTACCGCTAAAACATCACTACAACCGCCATGAACCCAGGTGGCCATGGGGTGTTCGCAGCTGTGGACAAAGTTTGGAAACCTCTGAGCTTCTCTGTTGTCTCTGGGACCAGCAAGCGCGGTCGGATGAATCAACCCGGAGGATTCGGGAAGTTTCCCCCCAAAAACAAAAATGCAGGACTCCCCTTTAAAACGGGAAGCCCCAACTACCCTCCAACAAGGAAGCTCCCAGGAACCCGAAATGGAAGACTTGGTTCCATTTACAAGCTTCCATGGTCTGAGGGAGTGTAAGTCAACCAAAGGTTTCATCCGGATTCGTCAAAACTCTCATCTCTCGCGGCCTGCAGCGACCTCAATGCCACTTGCAAAGACCAGGAGCCATTGCATCCGTCAAGGGTATACTCTGGGGGCGGGGGGGGGGGGAAGCCCTTGTTGGTGCCCCCTCCAAAAGGCGGCACAAGGTGTTCAAAAAGGGGGTCATATTCTTTGGTCGACACCCCACATGTGTGTGTGTGTGTGTGTGTGTGTCTGTTTGTTTCGTGAGGAAGCAAACCACCGAGGGGTGAACCAAATTTGGCACATACCCACAAACTATAGCAATGATCCTGAAGACACGTCCGATTGTGGACAATCGCGCCGAATACCAGAATCTATCAAAGACTGTATCCGGGTCCCAGAATCCTCAGGTATGAGAGCAGCAATGTATGGGGGGAATCTCCTATCCGGGGCCTTGCGTCCCAGCCACGCGCTTCTCCGTGGATATCCCGCCTAGGTTTGGCCCAATTCAAGGTGACAACTTGTCGCCTCAAAGCCCGGCGGAGCGCCATGACGGGAGGCGGAATCCAGGTGATCGTCGCCGGCCTCGGCAGAACCGGGACGATGAGCATGCAGGAGGCACTGCGCATCCTTGGATATAAGACATACCACATGGAGGCCTTGATCCGGGACACTTCGCATGCCAAGAAGTGGAGAGAGCTCACTGACGGAAGGTCTTCCGTGGAGGGAGTCTTCACGAAGATTGCGGAGGACGGGTACAATGCCACCATGGACAACCCCATGTGCGAGTACTTTGCGGAGCAGATGCAGATGTTCCCAAGTGCCAAGGTCATTCTCACACTGCACCCTCGGGGAGCACAAGGCTGGGAGAAGTCGTTCTCAACCCTCATGGAGTTCGTTCGCATTCAGAGCGCCGACTTCTCTCTGTTTTATCCGAACTTTATGTCATTGATTCCTGCAATCCAAGACCTGAATGCTGTCCGGTGCCTCATGGGGCAAAAGACCCTGGGCCTCTCACCGTGCGAGCTCACCTACAGATGCCAGGAGCATGGGGAAGGTTGGCTGGCCGCACAGTACGAGAAGCACAACGCCTTGGTGGTGGCTCAAGTGCCGCAGGAGAGCCTACTTCAGTTTAGCGCGCTGGACGGCTGGGAGCCGCTCTGTGCCTTCTTGGGCAAGCCGGTGCCAGACGTTCCTTTCCCGAAAGTGAATGATTCCGAGTTCATCAGGCGCATGGGTACTGTGCTGAAGGTGGTCATCTACTGCTGGATCCCCGTTGGAGCACTGGTTCTGGTGGTGTTGTTCTGGTATTGCAGACGAACCAAGAGCCGACCTCATGGCAAGGCTGACTGAACTCGTGCGCAGGAGATCACACCAAGCTAAAAGAGCCTCTCTTTCACCAGCAGTTGCTTGCAGATGTTCAAAAATAAGACCCCCAGATGAAGTGAAAGCCCTGATTCATAGGGTGTCCCTTGCAAGTTGGGGTTCAGACCACTGGAGGGCCGCCCTTTGCAAGTCGCACGGGTTCTACTTAGATCCGGGTTCCGGGCTGGTCCCCCACCAGAATGATCCGGATTCCCACCGTTCGGGAGCCACCCCTTGGCCTGAAATATCATTTGCTCGTGGTTTCCCAAGCAATGGTCATCCCAGGTGTATCGGACCTTTTGACCAACCCCTCAACTTCCCCCAGAAAAGCTGGTGCATTCCCAGCCTTTATGAGGCACTCGCCCAGTTTTGGTCTCCACCAGGGCTTCAACCTCAATCCCTTCCATTTCCTTGGGGATCCGTTTTTCCCCCTTCAACGGGGGTTTTAAGCGGGGAACCGAAGCTGTCGCCAAATCGGCGCCTCCGGGGCGATGGCTCAGGAGCTGGACCTTCGAGGCCATGCAGGGTGCCGCTTCCGCGGAGCAGGTGCAGAGCCTCATGCAGTTCGCCCAGGCGGGGGAACTCGCGCGGAATTCGCGCTCAAGCCGGGGGGTGGGGGGGGTAGGGGGGTGGGGGGGGGGGTTTGCTTTCGCACAGAGGGGGCTGGTCTTTTTCAGTTTTTGCCCTTGGGTGCCTGAGAACGTTAAGCAATTTCAAGGGAGTTCTGAGGACGAATTTCTTTATGGCTCGTTTTTTGAGTAAAAACCACACATCTTTGCGTTGAGTGATCAGCGCTTTGCGTTTCGCGAAGCACGACTTAGGGCTTCCCTGACCTTGAACCGACGCTTTCGAGGGGTAGGTAGGGTTGTTAAAGGTTCTCACTGGGTTGGGTGCTGGGCTTATCTTTTCGTGCCCCCGAACTTCAAGCTGTTTCTTGCCAGGCTCATCATGTCTGGGCCAACCACTTTGGGCAACCTTGGGAAAAGAATCCCAAGAAATCCCAAGAAATCCCGGGGAATCCAAAGAAATCCCGAGGAATCCAAAAAAATCCCAAGGAATCCCAATAAATCCCAAGGAATACCAAGGAATCCCAATAAATTCCCAACAAATTCCCATACCACCTTCACTTCCCCTCACAGGTCACGTCCAAACCCGGGCCTCCGCCAGGAGTACGACCGCAGGCGGATCGAAGAGTTCAAGTCGGAGCCTTTGAGGCCCAGGCTCACCTCCGAGGCGCGCGACGCGGACGGGCGCTCGGTCTCGGTCTCGGTCTCTCGGGTTTTGGCGACGCGATACGCGGTCCTTCTCGTGTTGAAAAATCTACGGCGATGAGATGCGTTGGGGGAAATTCGCCATTGAGACTGAACAATATGGTGATGCTCTAGAAATGTGGCGCGTTCTATTTGGGGGTTGAGTTTCATGGGTTAAACGGTTAAACTCCATGAATCAACAAGCAATTTGTTGGATGCCGAGTTGTTGCAGATCATGTCTGTTACTAACATGCTTGAGGGTGGTTTCATCAAGATGAAACTAAACATGGACATATCATTTTCGGTGTTCAGATTGAACATGGTCAAAAGCACGACTCCCGTTATTGGAGACAAACCCTAAGTGAGGGAGAAGGCCGTTGGACCCTCCGGTTCAAATCAATCCCCTTTAGGGCCAGTCAAAGACTGGCCTAAGGGTCCGTGCTTACACCAACTCGCAGTTCTTCCTTTATGGCTGCACTTTGGCTCTGTTTTTCGACTTGTGTTTTCGAAAACAACTGCTTCCCCACGAAGTAGCAAAGTTAACTTCGGGGGTCAAGGACCGACCAGTTTTTCGGGCTGGGTCTCTCTCTCTCTAATCAAGTGAATACTATTCCTGGGGATACAACTCAACTTAGGCGAAGATGGTCTGTTGTCTCAAAATAGGGACGCCCCCAAGAAATGGCCGTTTTCCATCTGGTTTCCCTTTGGAGCCAACCATACTGAGTACCCATCAACCAAGACTCCCCATATTTCCGATATTTCCCTCTCTTGGCGGTTTTAAACCACCACCTGTTTGGCCCGGTTATGGTGAGGTTCTAAGGGTTGATTCCCCATTCTCTTCACCCATCGTTCTCTTTAGAAACCACCCATTTTCCCAGGGAGTTGGCTTTTGAAGCAAAGGATCCCTGAAGAGAATGGGGAAGCTAGGTCGCCCAGTAGTGCCCTTTTTCCCTTTTTGGGGAGAGGGTTCCCCTACTAAATCGACTCAGCAAAAAGGGTACCCTTATTCCAACCTCTCTACTGGAGGACCTAGGAAGGTACAGCTAGAAAGGTAGGGGTGCTCTGCGCGAGCGGCGAGGCGGCGATGAAGTACCTGAAGCGCGCGGAGAGCGAGCTGCTGAAGAGTGAGGGCATGAAGCCGCAGGCCGGGTGCGAAAAGCGCACAGCTGGGTCTGCTTTAATGGTGCCCCCCCCCCAGCGCCAACAGTCAGTGGGGCGCCTCTGTAGTTCAACAAATCAGGATAAGTCAAACAAAAGTCCCAATTGGCGCTTGGCGAGGATTTGTCCAGTATGTTCACGTCGTTTGAAATGTCCTATCTATGCAACGAGCTCTAAAATTCAACCCCAAAAAACAGGTTGCAAGATAGATGGAAAGAGTCCACCATACCCACCCCTTTTTGAGATGCCCACCTGAGTCGCTCCCAACACCCCCATTAGGTGGTTCTACCATACAGGTTGCAGCAAGTCCCATACAGTTCTTTACCATCATAGGTTCCACCATGTTGGTTGTAGCAACCCGAAATCTGCCTCCCTCAACCTGGAAGCTCCCATCCCGTTTGGAACGCTTGCTTCTCCATGTTACAGGATCGGCCCTCTGGGAGCTTCCCATGTTGGCCTGAGGGAGTGCACCCGGGTCTCGGGCACGGCTCGTCTGTCTGATTCGCTGAGGTGCTCTTAGAGAGCCTCAAGGCCGCCGCCGAGGCGACGGAGAATCCGAAGCCGAGTTCGGGGAGGGAAAGACGTGCTAGGTGCTGCGATCTTGGTACCCCGGAAGGTTTGCTCAGAGGGAGTTCAGAAGAGCAACGCCTGCTTTTTTTGGTTTGGGTTTGTTTGAAGGCCCTCAATTGCGTTCCATTTCGTTCCCTGCAATAAAGGGAGAAAGGAATCCCCATTGGATCGGGGTTGGACGTTAGGAAGGGGGCTTTTTCGAGGTCCAAAATTGCGCGGGTATCCTGCTTAAGGTTGGTTTAAGTTAAGGGCACAACTTTCATGGTGTAATTGTCACGCGCACACACACGCAAATATAGCCAATGATTTTCAGCTTTCCCAACAAGATACCGAATAGGGAATGGGTAATTCGTAGAATTTGTCCAGGCCCCTCATTTTTAGCCTTCAGCTTTGTAGACGGGCGTTTTGGGATTGCTACGGGGAACCAAAAGGAAGCCAGCGATTTTGTCCGGGGTCCCCTGAAGAGAAACTCAGTGCCATCCAAGCCATTTGGGTCCATGTGACGCCAAGCTCGCCGGTGTCCAGACTTATGTTCCCGAGTTCTTCCAGTTGCCATGGGCAAAAAGAAATGATCACGTCAAACCTGGTATACGGAACTTGCTATAGTGGTAACTAGAAGCACTGAGTCACCAGTAAAAAAATGCCCCCTAGGGCGTCCTTGGTTTTCTTTTTCAGCCAGCAACACGTCCACCTTTGAGGTCAGTCTGGGCCCGTTCTTCTCAGTGAAGAAGCTGAAGTGCTGGTTTAGATTGGTGGTTTGGGGTCCAGGGGTAGCATCCCATGGAAAAGTCACCTGAGTCTGCTGGAATTCTGAGGAGACCATTGATTGGGTACGCTTCAAGTGATTGTTTGTGTTTTGGTTTGCTTTAATCCAAATTTGTACCGCCAGAGTACCCCACCCAATTTGCTCAGTGGGTAAAACGAGCATCCATAGCTGTTTGTGCAAAATCATGAGAACGATTTGCACGTCCATGTGGTCAGGCAACAGGAGCCCAACAACAAACATAACACGGAATTGTGGAGTGTACCATTTGGGTGGGATTCGAGGTTGAAATTAAAGGTCCCATTCTAAGACTCCAGTTGTACCCCAGTAACCCCAAGTGCCGAAGTTCAGCCCGAAGTTGGGCCCCGTATACATAATTAGACCAGAGGAGTTTCCTGTCGAATTTGTCCATAAGGAAATAAATCAGTTTTCCAGATACCTTGTTTGGATGAGTTTAAAGAAGACAACACCTAAAGGCAAGCGCTCAGGGCTTGCCCTTTGGACACATTCGACACAGAGCCAAGTTGGCTGCAAGTGGCTTTATTTCCTCGGGCTGTTTGTTCTTCGGTCTGATCCCCTGGCTGGTTGGTTGAATGGTTGCTGGGTTGCTGGGTTGCTGGGTTGCTGGTTGGTTGGCTGGTTGAATGGTTGGTTGGTTGGTTGGTTGGTTGGTTGGTTGGTTGGTTGCTGGCTGGTTGGTTGGTTGGCTGGCTGGCTGGCTGGTTGGTTGGTTAGTTGCTTGCTTGCTTGGTTGGTTGGTTGGTTGGTTGGCTGGTTGGCCACCGTTGGCTCTGATTTGGGAGTTGGCTGGTTTTAGGCTGGCTTAGATCTTACTGCGGGCGGGTCTCGGTTTATTTTGGGTCATTGAAATTAGGCAGCAAAGGGCCGACAGGCTGCTGTTGGGCGGGTTTAGGGTTGACTTTGGGTGGGTTTGGGATTGGCAACCCTAAACCCGCCCAACAGCAGCCTGGATGTCAGCCCTTTGCTGCGCCGCAAACCAACCCAAGACCCCTCAGTAGGATCTAAGCCAGCCCAACACCGCGCCTAATTCAACTTGCCCCGAGCAAGTCCCAACTGCCACCCCAACAGAGGCCAATACTGTGCATGAACAGAATCCTGCACCACCTATGAAACCCTGGCATGATGATTCCCTAGAAATACCAACAAACAATGGTTTCCCATGGCTCCAAAGTGGTGCAGGATTTCGTCCATCCACAGTAGGTAGTTTTAGGTGCAAGCGAGGCCTGTGATGCGGCAACAAATTGCCAAAAGGCCCCCATTGGAAACTCTGAGGATACCGGAAGACTCTCCAGCTGATGCTGGGGATGTTGCCAGCCCAAAGAAAACCCAGCCCTAAGATAACCCATCGCTAGGCAAAACCAGCCAAAGGAAACCAGCCCTAGGAAAAACCACCTCTAGTAAGCTTCGAGGGGAGCCAAAGTGCCATATTCAACATCTCATCGTGTCGTTTTGTTCTCATCCGAACAAGGGTCCCGCCCAGCGGCCCAGTCCACTGTTTCAGCCTGTTTCAACCGCTTTTCTTTAAACTGCCTCCTTCCCCAAGTTTACCGGCGGCCCGGTCTATCAACCGCCCTTTCCCTTTGGTAAATTCCTTCTAAAAGAAGAATAACACTCCAAGTGCCTGGAGTCCCACCCCTCATCGCGCTTTTGGGCACCCTTTTTCCTTCGACTCCGCGCGGTTTCCGGTTCGGCCGATTCCTTGCGAAACGCCCGCCTTGAGGCGGTGCCGGGTGAGTCGGGCAGCGCGGAGGCGCGCTCGCTGATGCTGCGGGTGATGACTTTGACCAACGAGCGCCTGCTCAAGGCCTACGCCGAGGCGTGCGGATTGGCACGCGGATTGATGGCGCGCGGGGGGCAAAAGTCGCTTCTTGGTGGACCAACAACTTGCTGGTGGAACAGCAATGATGGAACCCCTACAAACCATCCCTTAGGTGAGTTTTCGATGTGGTTTCCTTTAAGGGTGAGTTTTCGGAGGTTGGACCCTTTGGCGGAGCTTTATCCCTTTGGCGGACGTCCTTTAGGAGATTCAGCGATGAGTTTTAAGTGGTTGGACGCGTTTCTTTTGGGGATTCATGTCCAGCAACCACTTAAGAATCACTCTTTGTTGGGCCCTAAGGTGAGGTTCCCTAGGCGTGATGTTTTCAGGGAACATCTAGGGCACCCCATGAAGCGGCAACACGGAAGCCGAAGCGCGGGGCCTTTGCCGTGGTTAGGAAACACCCGCCAGCAAATGGGCATTGGGCATGACTCTATAACTCTTGTTAGGAAACCACTCCCTCAAAAATGGTAAACATACCCTCCCTCCAAGTGACACCTGAGGGTCCGGACCTTGAGGAAATGGATCTTCCAGCTATGTTCGTGGGAAGGAAATGCGTAGATGACTCTTAGGAAACCGCTCCCTCCAAAATGGTTGGTGAACATAGGGAACACCTCCAGGTATGTCCGCCGATTTGGTTCCCCCAGCTTCACCTCCTCCCCAACTTGTTGGTCGAAGCATGCGAGCCATCCAGGCGATCTCAGCGCAAGCGGAGAACGAGAAGAAGGACGAAGGGGGCTGGGAGCCTTTGGATGAGCGAAAGTTAAGCCCATCTTGTTCAGTTTTTTTTTTTTTTGCCAGGTGCTTTTTTTTTAGGCGTTTTTCCTGAAGTAGCAGTGTTTTTTTGGTTAAGATGGCCAGAAGGGCGGAGAATTGGTATTTCCTCGGGTTGTCGATGGAAGAGAAACCCTGAAGGAGATTATGCTGATGAAGTTCGCGGAGTCGGCCGATGAGGCCCGGTCGTTTGATGGGAAGCCCGAGAGAGTTTTGCCGGCGTTTATGCAAGCACATGGGTATGGGTCAAAATTAAACCACCAGGAATTGGACCACAGGTTTTGGTCCATGTTGCCACTTGCCAGGGTTCCATTTGGGGTACCTATTTTGGACCCACAGCCATATCCAGCAAAGTTTCGATTTTTCTGGGTGTTACTGGGTTCGGCGTTTATCAAATGGGGTCGGGAAGTTGAGCGACAGGGTAGCCGGAGGCAGGAGGGGGACAGCTGGGTTCTCAAAGTAGCCGTCCCTTTATGGAGGGGTTGGGAGGGGTTCTGGCGGTATCTGGCATGTTGGGGCTCTCTTGGGTAGACAAAGCCACTTCCTGGCTGGTGCATTCTTAGTTAAAGATCATTATCCAAAGTGGGCTTCCCTTCGATGGGGGAACGTGAACAGGGAAGCTTATGGAAGCCTGGAATCTGGGTTCTTAGGAGACGCTCCTCATGTTGTAAGAGACCCCTGATACCAAATGGTACCAATTGTTCGATCGAAGGCCGCCGTCCAGATATGCCTGGGGTTCCCAACATGCGATGATTTTAAGGGGAAAACCAATTGGGTGCCTGTCTGACAGGAAAACGAGCTCACAGATGTCGGACTTGTACTTGTGCCGTTACTAAAGGTTTGGGATTATAGATCTATGTGCAGTAAGGGAGGGAGGGTGGGTTCCACATGCAGTATTAAATTACATTGTTTGTTTTTTTGGGAACCCCTCGTGTGAGTTAATGGAAACTGGTGCAACAATATCTAGAATTTGACTAACTCTGCAGGATCCTGTTTGCTTGGCAAGCTTCTTCGGAAGGCCCCAGCCGAAGAAACTACCAACAATCATTGAACTTGACACAAGGGTCTTGCAAGACTACAGGCCTTTTGGAAATGTCTGTCCACGTCCGTCGGTGGAGAATGGGTAGTTGTAGATTGTACCCGACTGGTGGGAATGTTAACTAGGGACGCTTTTTCGGACATGAAGATTTGGCAGGAATAATCATCTCAAACGGCCATTTGGGAGGTGGTTTGCTATCTACAAATACCGCCAAGTAGCCCAGTGCCTGCTCAAAATGGAGAGGTGGCCAATGGGAATCTTCATGGCCATTCCTTGCATCCCCGGCCGCAGAGGAAAAAAGGAGCACCCCATCTAGAAAACTTTGTTTGGAAGTGGCTTTTGTGGGTGTCACCCCTGTTGCATAGAAAAACAAAAACCAGTACAACAAGAGTAGTAACCAAGAACTTGTTTGGGAGACTTCCATTTGGTGAAGAGTATTTCTTATTTTCCCCTGCTGGTTTTAAGGGGAATCTGGAATTATTTTCGTTTTTGTCCAGAAAACTTCGTCAGATGGAGGGCGAAGAACCTCCAAAGCGCTGTGCCGTAGGTGCGGCAGAGCTGCGTGATCCCCGGCACGGCCCTGGTGGAGGAGATGTCCCAGAAGCGAGTGGAGGCGAGACATCGAGTTCTAGCCCCCGCTTTTTGAGGCTAGGTCCCCCAGCTAGGAGCCCTTTTAACCGTTTGTTGGTTGGGAGGGTTCCCCCACTAAAATAATTAGACAGCAGAAAAAAGGGTGCCGTTCTTCTAACCTCTCTACTGGAGGATCTAGGAGAGAAATGCCCCCAGAAGGTGGAGGTTTGAAGATACATGGACCCTCAAACTACCCGGACTTTTTTCTAGTTGGAGGTTTGGTATACCTCGCTCTCCGCCTACCGGGCAAAAGGAAGGGAGTTGCAACCCAAAATTATGGTTGGTGTTTCCGCTTGACGACAGACTCATGGAGGTGGTGCTTAATATTACGAACCCTTTTCAGCATGGTTCCCAAACTTTGAGAACAAGCCCAAAAGCGGTCATTGACACCGTTCTTTGGGGGCTCCCCGAAGGCAAAACCTATCAGCCCTGAGTAAAGTGGATGATGACTCTCATTTGCTTAAGAAGGCTTTGTCCGAAAGCGTTAGCGAAGGGTTCTTTGGGAAAAACTACAGTTGCCGGTTGCACAGCCCTACGCTCGCAGCTCAGCATTGGACAGCATTGCTTGCGCAGGGATTGCAGGAAAGCGCCTCGCTTGTACATGCCGCGGGTGACTCGCTTGTGCACGCTGTCTCATGCCTCGCTTGTACACACTGTGGACTTGGAGCGCACCCCCCTCAGCAAGAATAATTATTGTCGGGCCAAGCAATTTCGATTGTTGGAAGATAGAACTAAAGGCTGCGAGCTTGGGCTGCGTAAGCTGGGCCGCGTAGGCACAGCTGCATGCGTAGTTGAGCTGCGACGGCAACCGCTGCGCAATCGCGGGACCAGCCTCACTTGCGCACGCCTCCGACGACTCAACTGCTCCTCCAAAACACCTCCGGCCACTCACCTGCGCACACCGGCTCACTTGCGCACACTGCAGGGCTCACTTGGGGCGGGAAGGCGATAAGAAATTCTTGACTTGGAAGTGGCATCCTGGAAGCCGGGAACAACTGCATTGCTCTCTGTGGGAACTGACGCTCGCCTGAAAGCTGTATTGTGCCCAGCAAGGAGACTGTTCTGTCTGTAAGGACTGAAAGTCTTACGTGGCAGTACCTGCTGAAAACCGGGGCGGGTCTGGCCGGCGCTGGCAGGATGAACCCTTTGCGGGATCGCGCGTGCCCTGCGAACTTTTTACGTCGCCGACGAACTCTCTGCGGGGATCGTGCGTGTCGGATCGCTTTCGCTGTGGCGCCAAGTGACTTTTCTACGCGGCCGACGAACCCTCTGCAGGTATCGTGCGTGTCGGCGCGCTCTCATGTGGCCGCCGTGCGAACCCTCTGGTTGTGGCTCCGCACGGGATCGAAAGTGGTCGACAAAGGCGGATTGCGCGGCTCTCGCCGTGGCGCCGTGCGAATTTTTATGTGGCCGACGAGCCCTCTGCGTGGACCGTGCTGGTCGGTTCGCTCTGGCTGTGGCGCCGTGCGAATTTGAAAGGCCGTGGTTGGAAACCCGCGCTGGTTTTGACCGGGGGATCGGGGTAATAGCAACATCATGTTCCACGCAGAGATCTGGAGGCGTCTTCAAACGCAGGTGCAACTGTTGTTGTAGGCTCGAGCAGCCGCAGGTATGTTTCCGGCACGCAATAGATCCGGAAGCTCTCCATCATCGCGCGCTTGGTTCGCAGAGCAGAAAGTTTTAGTACAAAAGCAGTATGCGAAGCGCGCTGCTTTGCACACTCCCGCAGCTCCGGTCCGAAAGTCGTAAGTCTAAGTAGAAAAGCAGTGTGCGAAGCGCACACTCCCACAGCTCCGGCTCGACAATCGCACATTTTACGTACAAAAGTAGTATGCGAAGCACACTCTCGCATCTCCGGCCGGCATCTTGAAGTACATGAGTATAAATCTTGCATTTGTAAAGCAAGGGCGCAAGCGCTTGTACGCCGGCGCGCGCGCAGCTCGGCATTGCATGCGTGGGCTTGATTGCGCAGCTTCACACCCGCTGCTTAGCATTGCACAGCGCGTAGCGATTGCATACCAGTTGCAGCGGCGCAGCTTGGCACCGAATATGCAGCGGTGCAGCGCAGCGGTGCTATGCAGAGCCTTGCTTTCGCAGCGACGGCTCGGCGCAACCTTGCCTTGGTAGCTTTGCGAACAGTTGGTTGTAGAACGTGTGCCGGCGCGGTTAGGCGCAAGTTGCTCACTACAGTGTTAGGTTTGCAGGTACCTGGATCTTCCAAATCCTAGAAAGTCAGCGTCAAATCTGGAGATCACCGCTTTTTGCAGGGCCTCAGTGAAAAACACAGAGTTTTCAAACTTCTAGTTTTTGAGGTAAAACTCCTGGAGATTGATTGTCACCTCTGGAAATTGATTTGCACAACTCACAATTTTCAGAATCAGAATCGTTCACACGAGTCAGAATCAGTTTTTTTTTTTTTTTTTTTTTTTTTTTTTTTTTTGAATTATTCAAAACTCGGAATTACTCAAAAAGTGCGCCTGTGGGTGACGAATTGGGCAAGCCGGAAAACACCACACCTGAATCGCAAACCACCCGCAAAACCCTGCAAACTCCCGCAAAACCCGCAAACTCCTGCAAATAAAAAAAAACAAACAAAAACAAAACACGTGCATCTCAGTAAAAGCAGTGGAATACCAACTCGGGCGCGCAGAGTTGCATAATTGATGGGATGGTGTAGTGAGCTGATTAATTGCAGGCCCAAACAACGAAAAAACAAACTCCTAGTTCTTGATTCCACTCCTGCTTTTGGAAGCCACTCCTGCTTTGGATTCATGCATTGAAACACCTGAGACTCCTAGTTTTCAGAGGGTCGCCTGGAAATAACCCGGAGGACGTAAAAGCAGAGAAATAGCCCGGAGACGGAAGACCCAAATAGTGTTTACTACAAGTTGCCCGTAAGAGTGTTGGATCATGAGCCAGTGCTGCATCACGATTGCTGCATGTTAAAAACGGGTTGCGTCTTGGAAGCAGGGTACTTGACGAGCTTGCTTCGGTGTTTGTTTGGCATTCACAAAAGGTTGGAAGCCAGAGCCCTGAAAGCAAAAGAAGCAGGCTGCACTGCTGCCTGGGCACTACATGTCTTGCATCACCTTTGTCATACACGCTTTCGGGATAACCGGGGTCTAAAGGCTACTTCTCTTTGTGGTTTTAAAGAGAATCTATCACTACGTACTGGAAGCCTCATTATTTTTCCAGGGGGCTGACGCGAACGGATGATGAAATGAGGGAGTTGTGCGATCCAGACACAGGGCTCACTGGAGTGCTTTATTAGACCCCCTTATGTGCTTTTTGTTTAATTATTTTTATGATTGGCGCGCTTGAGCCCCTACATTTGATGTTTGCGCTGCTGGCTACTGCTTTGGTTGGAGCTAAGATTGGCAGCTGTGATCCTTTCCAGAGGCCTTCGAATTCGCAAAGCGTTGGAAATGACTGCTCCCGCCGATCTGGGTCTAGAGTGGTCCAGACGCCTGGCTCTGTTTTTTCCAATTGAATCAACCCCGAAAAGGGTTTCAGCACCATTTGTTTCATGCTGACTTTGATCTGGGTACGGTTGGCGACGTTGGCGACTCGACCTCAACCCATAGAACCTTGCTTGGGCTTCTGTAGCGTGTTGATTCTGAGTTTTCCTCAGATACCTCTCACAACCATCCCAAAGAGCGCGCCAACTCCAAAGAGGATACTGCAGCGGGGGAAAAGCGAAAGTGCCGCGCCTACCACGCAACTGAAACCTTGCGAACCACGCCGGGACCGTCCCAAAGCCGTGCCGAGATTGGTTGACACCAACGCGGACCCGCCCGAACGTGCCGAGGGTCACTGTTCTTCGCAACTCCTTTTCCCCTGCCACGCCCGCACATTTTTCTCGTGTGCGTTCATTCTGTCTTCGTCTTATTTGTGCGCAAGCTATCTGCACACGCTATCTTTTGGCATAGGACATCTGACCTTCTGTAAGTTATCTGCAAGAGCCATCTTTTTAGCAGATCTTTGGGCTTGTTGAACCGTGGTCAGGATGTCATAGTATTGGTATCACTTGCGGGGTGCTGGGTCGGGTGGGGGGAGCTGGGACGGTTTCTGTGACTGTTGGAGGGGTTTCTCCGTAAGCTTATCCTGGAAAGGGGCCGCGCCTTCGAGAAACCATTTTTGAGCACCTCCTCTAATGCATGTTCAAATGACAAACCTTTAAATGGGTGAACCTGAAAAAAGTTGGGCCCAGGTTTCCAATTGCAACTGGAAAGTGCCTGGCAGTGTTTGGCGAGTTGGCTCCAATTCAGATAGCCCAGGGAATCGTTCTCCCGCCAGGTGGCGGACGAGCTTATAGAAGCCATCCGGGATCAGATCACGGCTGGGCAGCTGAGCTCCCTTGGCCAGGACGCGGGAGGGGGGGGCGGACGGCAACCAGTTCAATTGTGGGCTGTGTGTGTGTGTGTGTGTGTGTGTGTGCGTGTGTGTTTGCGTGTGTTTGTGGTTGTGTATTTTTGCTTGCGTGTGTATGTGTCCACACATGTGTTTGTGTGTGTGTGTGTGTGAGTGTGTGCGCGCGCGCGTGGGTGTGTGTGTGTGTGTGTGCAGGGTGTGACTTCAAGAAGGCTTTTGTTTTACAAGTACTCAAGTTTGATTGTGACCCTGGCACCCCGTTCAAGTCGTTCTTTTGCGTCTGATTCTTACGAGCTCAATTGACTCATTCCGTTCCTTATAGGGCAGGTTCTACAGTTCCGAGGGTGGGCTGGGGGCTCACAGGTGGAATCCACCCATTGCCACCCCAGTTCCTTGGTTCATTGGCCTTATGCCGAAGAACGGCTATGCGTGGCCATAGTTCGTGTGACATTCCTGCAACGGAGCCATTTGAAAGTCTTCAGTTTTCCGTCGGTCTTGTTTGATATTGCAAAGGTTGTTTCTGTGGTTTCCATCATGAGCTGCCTTTACATCTCTGCCCTGTGCCACCTCGATTTTAGAACATGCTATCCTCCGTGTGTTTGAGGTGAAGGATGAGTGGATGGGTGGATTGTGGTGGATTGGCTGTTGGTCGGTCGGTCACTTGGTTGCTTGGCTTGCTAAGGACATCCGCCTTTAGTTGGCGTGCTCAGGATGTTTTGTTGCCATTGAGGTGTTCATTATTTTACTGCTCTGTGGACCTCGATATGAGAACTCGCCCTCCTGCCTGCAACGGCGAGCAATCAGACATGAAGACGATTCTCAGGAAACAAAGCGAGGGCTTTTGGATAGCGGAAAGACCCAGATTGACATCGCGTAACTGGAGCGGTGCTTCCAGAGTAAGTGCTAGCGTTCTCCATCGTGGTTGTAAGTGTAGATCTTGTAAACCTCGAACTGTGAAACATTCCCATCCAATTAAAGTGCAGGGACGGCTCTCGTCCGTATCCAGAAAACAATATGCCATCTTCCCTTGGTGGGCAAAAGGCAACTCATGTATCACCGGTAGGGCGCCCCTCAAAATTTCCAGTTCGATCATTGGCGATAACACAAAATGGGGCAAGTGCTCGGGTACAATCTCAAAAGCAGTAAATACTGCGAAAGACGGTGTTTGTGGACGACTGCTACCTCTCTGAGGTACAAGGGGAATCCTTTTTGAAATGATAAATCAAAGGGGCATAGGAATGGCTCGCTTGCAGAAAGGGTTTTGACAACTATGAGCAAAGCTGACATCCAAAGGCTTAGGCGTTGCTGGAAGCAGGCCTGGTATCCTTTCAAGGGGTACAGAGCATTGCCGAACGAATTGCAAGTGAGCCACATCCAACCAGAAAATCATGATCAAGTGCAGTGAGCTACTCCCTGAGTTGATGGACTTTAAACTTGTTGGAAAGACCATTTTAGTGGACAATTAAAAGTTCGGACTTTTCTTGGCCAGTCCACTTGGGAAGTGGGAGTGAGCTACAGGCTTTCCTCGTGTTGGGCATCTCTGGGCAGGACATTTGCATCCTGTCTCGCGTTTGCAAGAAGTTGCCCACGGATGCGCCCCAGCAGAAGAATGCGAAAGCTGTGGCGAGCAGGCGCGAGGGGACAGGCTGCGCCGTGGGCGGCTTCCCCCGTTTTGTCCGAGGCCTCAACACCCCTTGTGCTGGATTGCTTACCTGCAAAAGATGGTGAATCCCTGAAAGGGTTCCGTTTTTCTACAATGGGCAACTCGTGTTCTTCTCGATTCTTGAGTGGGCAATCCGCAGAGTCTGCATTTAGATCGATTCAAGCTTGGGTCTTGGCCTGCTGGGCTCTTCTCAAAACACACCAAGTCCAAGAACCGCCGTTTGATTTTACAGGGCACTGCCCTTGCACACAGCCCATGTCTTGCCAATGCAAACCACGTCTCATGCAGTTTCCCAGGAAACCCTCCCCCGAAGATCCAAACCACTATTGATTCAAGGAGGTTCATAAAACCGCCATTGTTTACCTAAAAAGGTACCCTCAAAATATACATAAAATACAAACTGAAGCCAGCGCGGAAACCTGTGACACGTTTGCAACCACTCAGCCCCCCTGACAAGGACCGTGTTTGTCACCTCCCAGAAAACGGTTGGCCCAGGGGCCACGAAGAGCGAGCGATCGTTTGATCAATTTGCCAAGAGTTTGGTTCACCGTCCACTTCCAGTGATGCCCCTTTCTCTATTTTAGACCAGGTTCTTGCCCCACAAAAACCAGCAAAACACACAGCGCTTTGAGTGGCAAACAATAGAGAAGCCCAGACATCTGAATTCCAAAAGGGGACCCCGGCTTTGTGAGCACACCTCTTGGTATATTTCTTTTGAAACCATACAACAAAAAGAGGCATCGCGGCATCCAAGCAGTAAATCAAGCCCCGGTAAAGCCCCCGTAAGTTGTTTTCGGCCCATGCCAGGTATATGGACAGCCTTAGCTCCTTGGATGCCCAAGTGGACGAGTCCACATTGCAGTCTGCTGCCGAACTGCAGGAGGCAAGTCGCATAGGTCTAGTCGCTGCTGCTCAAAGCGAAGCGACCGGATCTCTGACATTTTGGTTTTCTCTTCTTTTATTTTAGTGAAGATCCTGAAAGTTAACCTTTGATTTACAGGTCGTTGCAGCAAGTGAGAACCAGGGGAGGTGGTTCAATCAGACCTTGGTCCGAACATGAGACTTGTTGATTCTGCCCCTCTAAAGAATCATGAGCACTGCAAAAAGGGCCTGACAAGGGGTTTGATACCGTCCCATTTTGAAATTCCGAGATCAGGACCTGTATTTGTCTCAAAATACAGGGCACACCCGTTTTTTGTTCTTCTTCTTCTTGTTTTTTTTCTGCGAACTCCTCGCGATTTCAACCTGCAAAGGTCCAAGTCGCACACTTGGCAACCTCCACTTGCGGCGTCCTTTCCCTTGAGACGATTTTGGAATTCCGTGCAGCCTTCGGGTTTTCCTTTAAAACCAACCCGACGGAGCTTCGGGGCAGGCCCTGAAGACTTTGGGCTGCGATCCCGGAGACCTCAAGGCCAAGATCTTGGAGAAGGCGCGGCGCTTTTGGCTCGATGTTTGTTTTTGTTGGCGAAGGGTACCCCTTTTGTTGGATGGTTTCAAAGGAGAAAAACGGCAACTATCGATGGGGAGTTATCCTTTATTTTATCTATTTTGACACAAACTCGCAGGACCCAAGTTGCATCCGGCGAGATGCCAACTGAAAGCTGCCTGCAAATGGCTCTGGAGAGCGGGACAATTGATATGCAAAATCACCTGAGAGGCACTTTTCCTTCAACCACGCATCCATGACGGCCCTTCCGGAATTTTGCTGGGGGACCCTCTCCAATCTCGTGAAAAAGCGCCGTGCCAAGTTGTAAGCAGCGTTTAAAAGCCAACTCAAGATGAACAGCTCCCCTGCAAATGGCTGTGAATTTCAATGGCGACCCCCTGAAAGTTGCCGGTGGACATGAATCCCCGCCTAAATGATGCCAGCCTAAATTGGTGGTTCACTTGCAGAACACGGGGGGCGTCCACTGTGAGGTTGCGGTTTGGACCGTTTTGGGTGATACCAAAGATGATTGAGTAGGTGTCGTTGAGATTTCCCTTTGTATGTTGATGTTGAAGGGGAAGCAAGAGGAGACAAACCATTCTCAGAGATCCTGTTTGTGAAGCAGGCGTAGGCTGGTGATGACGAGGCAGTGCCATGTTCAGGTATGGAAGCTGATGTGGTGCTACCCTTTATTGCTCCCATGGCCAAAGCCAGGGCAGTATATTTGTTCCAGGCGATCCGCTCATGTTTCACGCCTTCCATATTGCCCATACTGTGTCTGCCTCATTACTAATGTGTTAGCTTCAACACGGCTGAATGCCACGAAAGATTTACCTGACATGTGCTTGAGCTGCCGATTCAGTGCTGATTAGACTGACTTGAGATAGTGTCCCTTTCATGTGCGCTCTTTGGAGTTTTGCATCACTATGGCTCAATGGGACTGGCACATTGTCAACCTGATTTCGCTTGGGGGCCATTGATATCCCGACCCCAAGCCTTCCGGAGGTCATGAATGTTTGAGCTTTGAGTTCGGGATGCAATATGATAGAGAATCGATGGTTTTGGAGCCTTTCTTAGGGAGCTTTGTGAAGCTACCATGACCTTAAAGAACAGCTGGTAGCTCCCTAGCTCTACTTTAAAAAAAAAAGAGGATATATCCCCAGCTCCGAGTCCGGCTCCGGCTCCCTTCCAAAAAGCGGTCTTCAGCCGAAGCCGAAGCCGCCAGGTGTCGCGGCAGGTGCTGGGCAGGGCGCGCACGGAGAAGGACCTCGAGGAGGGGCGGATGGACTGAGCCACTACTCGAGGAAGTGGCACCCTTGACTCAGTTGTTCAGTGGCCCCAATTGTTTTCCCCTTTTTTTTGGTGGCTGCCCCACTAAAATGCTCCAAGCCCCAAAAAGGGTTCCCTTTTTTTCCCTGAACAACTGAGTTTACTTGAAACACTGACCTCGGGGCACCGATGGCTTACGGCAAAAGAACAGGCTTGTGGCAAGGGTCAAAACGCAGGCAAGGAAGGGGATCCTTCAGGCTTGCACCACCCTTAGGAGGTCCTTGTCACGAATGCCGACCCCGGATGAATAGACCTTAAAATTTAGAGGCTTTTACTATTATTTTTAAGTGAATCCTCTCGAAGGCGACATGTACCTCTGATAAATCAATCAAGAGTTTGGAAATCCTGGGTTACTATTAGGCTGTTAGTTGCCATTCAGGACCATCATCCGAAATCAGTATTGGAGATTGGTACTGTGGATGGACAAGATCCATTTCGCACGAGTCGGTAGGTAGCTTGTCCCAGTATGTTTTCCACCCACAGTATGCTTCCACCCACAGTATTTGCATGTATGGGATATATGGGTGTGGTTCCATTGTTTTGCTACCAGGGGCCTCAAAAGACTGCCGCTTTTTGGTCGCGGTTCAAAAGACCTTTTTGGTAGCCGCGCGACAAAACAACGGTCGCGGTACAAAAAAATGAGTTTCCCGCATTAGACCGAAAATCATCATCATGGCAACTGCAGCCCCCAACACCGTTGTGATACGCGAGACAGAGCTTAAATACGGCTCTGTGCGCGACGATACGGCTTAGTGCGGTGTTGTACGGTTTTGTACGGGTTCTGTACGGGTTTGTACGGGTTTTGTACGGTTTTTGTACAGATAAATACGGTCGCAACATGTCACAACAATGGTCGCAGCATGAGAAAAAAAAGCGGTTGTAAGGAGAAAAGGTCGTGGTCCGAGAAAAAGAAAACGGGCGTTTAACAGAAAAACACAGTTGTTGATTGCAGCAAAAGCAGCCGTGTGAAAAAACACCGTCGCAGCATGATAAATTACGGGCGGTTCAGTAGCCACAGCATGCTGCACACCCAATTCTTGTCAAACATGTGTTGGTTCACACAAACCAATGTTCACAGCCTGTCACCTCGTTAGGCCTTGGCAGGTAAGTTGCGTAGGGTCCACTTGCCTGAGCAGCATGCATGGCAGGCATTCAGCACGTTTGAAAAGAAAATGGTCGTTCCAAAAAATGGTCGTACGAGCAAAAAATGGTCGCGCCGTACCGCAACCAGAAAACGGCAGTCGTTTGAGGGGCGCAGGTATGCATAAAGAATTTGTTTAGCGAAATCCCGTTTCGCCCTGTTTTACAGTTGGAACATGGCCACCGGGCGCCTGCGTTCAGGCGCTGGGGCGACACCTGGACGCCTTGGTCAAGCCCTGCCAGGACGTTCGTGGCTCGCCTTGTTTTGTGGAAACCTGTTGGGCGATTTTGGGATCTGCGCCGAACTAAAAAAGACACACCCATGGCCCCGCCCAACCCCCTCCTAGAAGGATTGAATCCTGAAAAAGACACACAGAAAGGCTCGAGGGGTAATTAGATTGGACGGGATAACCGCCTGTTTGAGCTCTAGCCCCAAAAAGGGCTGGTCTGCTGCATGAGATCCAGCACCTCCGGCAAAGGGCTGGAACTCTGTGATGGCCAGACAGGGCATGCGGAAATCCCGGAAAGTTGGCCAAGACCCGAGGGGTTGCGGCGGATATTTGGCCAAATTTCCCGTATTTTTGTTTCATGTAGCTAGTTTCTTTGCCGACTTCCTGCGGAGCTGGGCAGAAAACAATGGGAGCAGCAAGCCACCAGCTCCAAGAGTCAGAGCCGGGACCCCGGATATTAGGGTTGTCGTCACACCCTGCTTCAAAAACGGTTGGTTCTCGAATTATGTTTTCTTACCCTCCTAGAATATGGGTCTTGGAAGACAACTTTTCTTTGAAAGGGACCCCCTGTCAGGTTCCATGTTCATTGGTGGGAGGGTGCATATGTAGTGCTTCCTCCGAACATCCAGCAAAGACAACATAGTGGGTCTTTTTGGCCGGTGGCAAGCTGGATTGCCCAACCTGCAGCGCGTGGGCTGAAATCTGCTGCCCCCAGAAGTCCTTCGATGCCCGAAAGGTGCCAAATTGAAGCCCTGCAGGTTCCGTTTCACCCACCCCAACCCTGGGCTTTAAACTTTTGGGAAACAACAAGTTTGGAACTTTTAGCCATCCACTCAGGAAGTCAGCCAAGGAATCCTTGCCTACCCACCCAAATCAATCCCGTCTTCAGATTGAAACACTTGTGGCCCTCATGATTCATTCCCGGAGTTCAGCAGTTCTTGCCAGCAAGCTCAGAGCCTTCGGCCTGTCAACTCTGGCCTCATCCCTCGGTTGCCCTCTTGCTTTCAAAGTCAATCCTGAATCCTGCCAGGCTGGTGGTTTCACTTGTCGCGGTTTCTCTCGGCGGCTCGCGGGTAAGGAAAACTGGATCGGACCCGCCCAGTTTGATGTTGGAACCACTCGCGTGAGGACGAGTCGCTGGCTGCGGATCTCTACGAGGAGATCCAGTCCTTTGCCAACTCGCTGGAGGATACGCTCTTGACGAGGCTTCTGGAGGAGTGGGTTCGTGCGGTGCGCGTTTTTTTTTGGACACCGTGGAATTGTTGGCCCATGTTGGTGTGGTCCGATATGTTACCCCAAGGTGGTATTCATCTTCGACTTTGGGAATCCGTCGAAAGGGAAGACTTCCAGCGAACAATATTTGAACCTGACAGGATTCCAAGTGGCTTGTGGCCATTTGCTATTTCGAGCTCACCTTGCGGGGGAAAGCGGGCTCCCCTTTCATGGGGATCTCTTATCGCAGGCTTTTTGGAAGTTCATAGGTTGCAGACTACTTTTACCCTGGATGCAAGCCATCCCGAGTCAACTGAACATGTTGCTTGAGGCTCGGTACACTTTTGAAGGTTGCTTCAAGGGAAATCAAAGGAATGCCATTTCGACGTGTACCCACATTGACGGATGAGGCGTTGTTTTGCCTTCTTTAATACATGTTGTCTTTTTCCTGGTTGGTTGGTTGGTCGGTCGGTCGGTTGGGTGGATGGTTGGTTGGGGCTTGATTTACTCTCGGCAAAGGCTGATTTCTAGGCTGCTGTTGGGTGGGTTTAGGGTTTGGGGTTGGCTTGGAGCTGATTTGTGCTAGGTGTGCAGCTGGCTTGGAAATTCCGGTTGCATCAGGGTTGTGCTCAAGTGAAGTTTGGGCTGGTTTGAGATTGGTCTTGGAGCGTTGCCCCCAAGACTTGTAGAACGGCCAACATTCGTGTGAAAAGAAGCACTTCTACCCGTTGGTTGAAATGATATGGTTTGGATTGAAATTGAACAAGCCACCAATCGTTGGTTGAAATGACATGGGTCTGTGTTTTTGTGTGTACCCCTTTTGGTTGGTTTTGCAGGGAAGCCAACAGGACTTCCGAAATGATTTTTGGGGGGAGGGGGGTCAAAACACGGACGCTTCCATGGTTGTTTCTTTTGAGAGTACCCCTTCCTCTTTTGGTTCTACACGGAACCAGCAGGAAACCCAGAAATCCATTTCGGCCCCCTAAAACAAAAGACACACCCATATGACCAACAATCGTTGTTTGTCTTCTTTTCTGTGTACCCCCTTTTTGGTCTTCAAGGGAAACCAACAGGAAAACGAGAAATCCAGTTGGGTCCCCCAAAAGCCAGAATTGCATGGTTGGTTGAAATGATATGGGTCTGTCTTGTTTGGTGTGTACCCCCGCCAACAGGAGTTCCGAAATCGATTGTTTTGGGGAGGGGAGGTCAAAAAACAGACGAACCCATTTGGGGTTGTTTCTTTTTGAGAGTACCCCTTTCTCCTTTGGTTTTACAGGGAACCAACAGGAAAACCCTGAAACCAACTGGAAAAACCAAGGAACCAACAGGAAAATCCATGTGGGTCCCCTAAAAAACCAGAAATGCATGTGTGGTTGGTTTTATGTAAAGGGAACCAGCAGGAAAACTGGAGATTTCCATTTGGCCCAAAACAAAGCACCGACACCAACCATTAAGGGGTACCTTCCCAATTCTTTCCAGGGATCCCTCTTTCTAGAAAACCTCCGGAAACCGAGGGAAAACGGATCCGGTTTTTGGAAAGCCTTAGAGTTAGGGGTTAGCCTCCTCCAAAATCCTTTCCAAAACCAACCCCAACACTTCAAGCCCCATGGCTTCGCAGGAGGGCCGCGCCCAGGGCGCCGCCGCCGTGAATGCCGCCGAGGCGGCCGACCGCCTCCGCGCGGCCAAAACGGCGAGCGGTGCCTCCGGGGCGCTGAAGACGCCCTTCGCGGAGCGGGTGGCTGGGGCGCAGAAGGCGGTGGGCCGCTCGGAGAACTCAGGGGGGAAAGGGAGGACAAGATCTGGGGGAAAGGGATTTGACCCACGAACAGTTCGTCAATTTTAGCAGATCTGAGGACAGCCCAGTTGGGTTCAATCCTTTTTCCAGTTTTAGCCAAGATCTTAAAAGGTGAACCTGTTATTTCCAGGTCCTTCGGGCAAGTGAGTGAAGTTTCCCTGGCAAGCGGGGGGGACAAGAACAGGAGTTGGAAGAGGTTACCCCCCACCTCAAGTTGTTGGTTTCCTTTGGTTTTGCTTGCCTCATTTTTCCAACAGTTTCCGTATTGTGGCCCCTGAAAGTTTAGACACCTTTCTATGTTTAAAGCCAATCTGAACGAGGGTTGCTGGGGACCTCAAAACAATGAAGCAATCACCTCGAGCAAAAGCTCAAAGCTTTGTACATCCACCAAGAAATTTGATGTTTCCTGAGAGGACTCCGCAGTCGCCTTTTGGAAGCCTGTGAAATAGCTATGCAGAAGTCTCGAAGCTGCGACACCGAAAAGGGAACTCATATTCAACACCCAGGTCCCCTTTTCCCTTTTAGCCCCAACGTTCCGAAGTTGAGGCCTGCTGGCCCCAACAGGTGTGTGGATCCCCATAGCTGCGCGCGCGCATGTGTGTGTGTGTGTGTGTGGGTGTGACAGTGTGTGTGTGTGTGTCTCTGTGTCTGTGTGTGTTTGTGTGTGTCTGTGTGTGTCTGTGTGTGTCTGTGTGTGTCTGTGTGTGTCTGTGTGTGTCTGTGTGTGTCTGTGTGTGTCTGTGTGTGTCTGTGTGTGTCTGTGTGTGTCTGTGTGTGTCTGTGTGTGTCTGTGTGTGTCTGTATGTCTCTGTGTGTCTCTGTGTGTCTCTGTGTGTCTCTGTGTGTCTCTGTGTGTCTCTGTGTGTCTCTGTGTGTCTCTGTGTGTCTCTGTGTGTCTCTGTGTGTCTCTGTGTGTGTCTGTGTGTGTCTGTGTGTGTCTGTGTGTGTCTGTGTGTGTGTGTCTGTGTGTGTCTGTGTGTGTCTGTGTGTGTCTGTGTGTGTCTGTGTGTGTCTGTGTGTGTCTGTGTGTGTCTGTGTGTGTCTGTGTGTCTGTGTGTCTGTGTGTGTCTGTGTGTGTCTGTGTGTGTCTGTGTGTGTCTGTGTGTGTCTGTGTGTGTCTGTGTGTGTCTGTGTGTGTCTGTGTGTGTCTGTGTGTGTCTGTGTGTGTCTGTGTGTCTCTGTGTGTCTCTGTGTGTCTCTGTGTGTCTCTGTGTGTCTCTGTGTGTCTCTGTGTGTCTCTGTGTGTCTCTGTGTGTCTCTGTGTGTCTCTGTGTGTCTCTGTGTGTGTCTGTGTGTGTCTGTGTGTGTCTGTGTGTGTCTGTGTGTGTCTGTGTGTGTCTGTGTGTGTCTGTGTGTGTCTGTGTGTGTCTGTGTGTGTCTGTGTGTGTCTGTGTGTGTCTGTGTGTGTCTGTGTGTGTCTGTGTGTGTCTGTGTGTCTGTGTGTGTGTGTGTCTGTGTGTGTCTGTGTGTGTCTGTGTGTGCCTGTGTGTGCCTGTGTGTGTCTGTCTGTGCCTGTCTGTGTCTGTCTTTGTCTCTGTGTCTCTGTTTCTCTGTGTCTCTGTGTCTCTGTGTCTCTGTGTCTCTGTGTCTCTGTGTTTGTGTGTCTGTGTGTCTGTGTGTCTGTGTGTCTGTGTGTCTGTGTATCTGTGTGTCTGTGTGTCTCCGTGTCTCTGTGTCTCTGTGTCTCTGTGTCTCTGTGTCTCCGTGTCTCTGTGTCTCTGTGTCTCTGTGTCTCTGTGTGTCTGTGTGTGTCTGTGTGTGTCTGTGTGTGTCTGTGTTTGTCTGTGTGTGTCTGTGTGTGTCTGTGTGTGTCTGTGTGTGTCTGTGTGTGTGTGTGTCTGTGTGTGTCTGTGTGTCTCTGTGTGTCTCTGTGTGTCTCTGTGTGTCTGTGTGTGTGTGTGTCAGTGTGTGTCTGTGTGTGTCTGTGTGTGTGTGTGTGTCTGTGTGTGTCTGTGTGTCTCTGTGTGTCTCTGTGTGTCTCTGTGTGTCTGTGTGTGTGTGTCAGTGTGTGTCTGTGTGTGTCTGTGTGTGTCTGTGTGTGTGTGTGTCTGTGTGTGTCTGTGTGTCTCTGTGTGTCTCTGTGTGTCTCTGTGTGTCTGTGTGTGTGTGTCAGTGTGTGTCTGTGTGTGTCTGTGTGTGTGTGTCTGTGTGTGTCTGTGTGTCTCTGTGTGTCTCTGTGTGTCTCTGTGTGTCTGTGTGTGTGTGTGTCAGTGTGTGTCTGTGTGTGTCTGTGTGTGTCTGTGTGTCTGTGTGTGTCTGTGTGTGTAAGTTGAGGCCTACTGGAGGAGGCGAATGCAGAACTGGCCAAGACCGCAGGGATGAACCCAAAGGCCGTGGTGAACGTCCTCAAGGACCCGAGCCGATTGCGGCAATTTCTTAAACAAGTAGACCCTGGCCCTTTTAAAGTTAAGCCCAGTTGGAGGTTGTTTTCCACAGCTGGCTCAAACATGCCAAGACAAGGGGCTATGGGACACACCTTGCTTCACCGCTGCTGGGTTTGCAACTTGTTTTTTCTGGCTGCTGGTTGGTGCGATCTCTAATCCTTCATCTTGTGCGGAAGTGCTCGACTGCCGACCACCAAATGTCCAACCCACGCAAAAGCATGCATCCAGCTCAACCTGACATCGCCACTTGGGGATTCCGGGATCCCATACGTCCAACTTGTGAATGACAGTAGCTTGCTGTAGACAGGTGTCAAAACTAGTTGGACCCTTTGGAGTCTGGTAAAGGGGCCAACTGGCAAACAACCAAGTCCCATGACATGTGCCTTATGCAAAACCTTTCGGGGAAACCCTGAAACACCATCCAACATTTTGGCTTCCCTATCCCTGTGCTGCGGGGAAATACTCCAGAGTATAACATTGAACCCCAAAACCCACAGTATAATAATATTGTTTTGGGGGACCACTTTTCTGGGATCCATGTTGTTCTTGTCAAAAAGGCACCCCCAACATGGTGTTGTTGTGGTTTTCGCTTCAAAAAGGCGATAAAAAGACGCCCCCTCCCCATTAAACAGTGGTTGCCCTTTTGGTTTCCCTTCAAAACCAACCATAGGGCGTGCCAACTGATAGAAAGACACCGGTCACCCCCCCCTTTTGCTAGGTGGCCGGGAGGTTGGGTGCCCGTGCCTGGGGAATCGGAGCGAGGAGCTGGCGGGCGCCTTGGCCGGGCTCAACGGCTTCTACGACGAGGCGCTGAGAGCTGTGCTGGAGCGGTTCCGGGAGAAGCTGGCGGAGGCGGCCGGCAAGGCGCGCGTTCCGTGTGACGTCCGTGCGGTGGTCATTGGTCGGTGGTGGGTAGAGTTGGTACCCTGTTGGTTTCCAGGGAAACCATGGGGAAAACGGAGAATCCCTTTTGGGGGTCCCTTAAAAAAGGACACATCCGTGTTGAGGGGGTCTCACAAATTGCTGTTGAGGGTAGTATAGTTTCTTTAAACCCCTGCAAATTCGCTTTTTTTGGTTCCACCCCCCGGCACGGAGAACCACACAGGCGCTGCAGGCGGAGGGCGAAATGAGGGACAAGAAGCTGGCGGCCCTCGCCGCGCTGGCGGCTCCGCGAAGTTCGTTTGGGTGTGCGGGGGGTTCGTTTTTTTGGAGGCGCGGTACTCTGGTTGGAGGGTTAAACAAATGGGGTGTGGGGTTCCTTCTTTTTTTTGAAGCTTGGTACTCTGTTTGGAGGGTTTGAATGGGACGCCAAAAGGACACCTATCATTTGTTGGGGTGTTTTGAAGGGAATCTAGACGTTTCAGCCATTTTGGGGGTTCCAAATCCTGTTTTGAGACAAGCTGGTTTCTTTTGGTCGAGGGAGTGTCGACCCTGGTACCACTCCCCCCAAGCAAATGTTGGGGCTCCAAGACTCCAAGAGGCCGTTTAGAGCGGCCCTGCTTCCAGTTTTTTTGTTTGTTTTCTTTTAGTACTTTTTGTTTTAGGACTTAGTACTTGGGGAAGTGCACCTGATGTCCAGCAGGTTTGGGTTTGGGTCCCGTATGAAAGAAAGTTTCACTTTTCACTGGGGAGCAGGTTGCAGACTGATCGCGAAGGCGAGACCCACTATTGCAGCTTGCCTGTGCTCAAAAATATCCCCAGCGAATGGACGCTTTCAAGTTTACGTACTAAAATGTCTGTGGGTCAAAACCCTGTACCCCCAGTGAACATCCCAATCCCCACTAAAATAGACTATTTTAAAATGGGTGGTGCACCTGCCCCAAAATGGTACCATTGGTTTTGACCCATGGCCAAATCAGTGTTGCGGCCCTTCACGTGATTCACCTTGGGAGCTGAGGCCAAGGATGCAGACAGTGCACAGCAGGCAGGACTGCGGCAATATGAGCCGTCGGATCTGCCCACTGCCCACTCACTTCCGGCCATTTGCTGCGCTGCGCGAATTTTTGGGAAGATCTTCTTTGGGACGGAGTGCAGACATTGTTTTGACCGATCCCTGGAAGCGGGGACGTGCCAAGGAGCACAGTTTCCAAATCGGCATTCCTGGCTTTGACGATTGCCAACATGTGGTTTGGAGAGGGCGTGGGGACCGCCCATTTGCGTGAAACCAATGTGCATATTGGGTCATCTATTTTTGGGGGTAAGGCAGTGATTCAACGCCTAGGGACACTAGGGAAAGCCCCTTCCCAGTGGTTGGATGCTCGACTAAAACCATTAGTGGTCAATTTAAAAAAGGCTTCTGGGCCTCGAAACAGGCACACATGATACTTGCGAAGCGCAATGCTATGACACAGAATGATACATCCACAAGATAATCGTGGAATTGAAAACTAGAATGAACTGGCATGTCGACCATTTGAACATGGTGTGCGCGAACACCAACAGAAGCAAATGTGCCATAAGCATGAATATTTTCAGAACTACCCATTTGGGTGTGTCCTGCATTAGGAGGTGCTCCAAAAAAGGCAGGTCACATCCATTTCCCAGCATCGGATATGCACCCCCGCTTTGTGCACGGCGTTTCTACATGACCTCACTGTCAACGGGTTTACAAAAGGCAAACATATCAATATTGACCGATTCTATTTGACTTGAAAGGGGTCACAAAAAGCCAGCAACATGCCTGGTATCCAAGGGATATTGTTTAGATTGAACAAGGAAACCAAAGGGCATGTTTACAAATTTGCCCACCCATTTTTGTTCGCTTCCTTTTCCTTTTTTTGACTGCTTTGAAGGACCCCCCCCTCCGTCTTTTTCCCTACAAAGGTCCCCCGCTTCCTGTCCTCCCCCGCCCCCCCCCTCCGCCCCCCCCCCACGCCCAAAAAAAACACAAAAAAGCAAACGAACACTCGCCAAGCAAAATCACAGATGACCTCACCCGCTTCTCCTTTTTCCCTCAAACAAAAAATCCATCAACAAAAACAAAAATCCGCGGCGCGCCGGCCTCCGCCCCCCCCCCCCCCGCACTCTTGCCCGCCCCCCCGAGCCCCCCCCCCCCACGGACAACGGCGTGCAGGCCTTGGCCTCGTTGCCGGGCTCCTCCCTGGAGCTGCAGAGCTTCGCCGGCGCCGTCTCCGGCGCGCGCTCCGCGCAAAGCTTGGAGCAAGTGGAGCTGGAGCTGGGCAAGGCGCCACACGGAAACCGGCGAAGGGATCGATTTATAGGGGTCCTTTTAGGGGCCTGGTAGATGATTGAGCCACCAGGTAAACCAGGATCCAACCCCTTTGAGATAGCCGGGTCAAACTGGCTCTGTTGCATCAGCTGGTCTCCTTGAACTCATCAAAGTTCCCCACCATGGTCTGATGGACGTTCTCGAGCTCCTTTTAGGGGAAATAGATGGGTTTTCCTGGTTTTGATGATTAAATCAGCAGGTAAACCAGGAATCGCCATCTATTTTTTCTAGCAAAGCAACCAAAAAGGACACCTATGGGTCGATCAACTGTTGGAGGGGGTTGGTTGGGGTCGGGGGTTGGTTGGGGTTGCTCTTTTTGAGAGTTGAGCGAGGTTTGTGAAACGAAAGGTTTTGTCTCATAACCCAACAGTCAATTCCAGGGTATCTGGATCCTTTTTGAGAACCAACCACCAACAACCTCTTTTGGGCGAGTGTTTTTCGAGGCGAGCCTTTCGGGGGGGCGCCAAGTACTGTTGGTGGCCCCCCTAGCTCTCATTTTGGGGAAGATCCCCCCCTTTGCGACAAGCGCTCCTAGTTTGGGAGTTGGGTTCCATCTTTGACTTCCCCAAGGTAGACTTAAATCCTCTTTGGGGGTGTCTGCAGGTGGCTTTCAACTTGGTTTTGCCTTTCCACATCTCCAAGGGGCACCGGCACCCCCAAAACCTTCCGGGGCCCCAAGCGCCTGATCACATATGTATGTGTATGTATATACTGATATGATGGTGTTTTTCGAGGGTACCCGTCAAAAGGTTTAAACAGAAAACGAATGGCACATCCACCATGTTCTTGGGCCCCCTGATGGTCATGGACCCGCTAGGGGATTTAGACAGCAGCACAAGGCCTTCTAGTAGGGGAACCAACATGGGGAGTGTTGACCGTGGCACATTTGTTGAGAAACCCCGTCGATGTTAAAACCAGCCAGAAAGAGATATACGACTTGGCCCCTGAAAGTGAACCCATAGATAAAGCAATGCGCAGGAACTCCACTTGGGCTACCCCCACCCTTGGGTTTGCTCCTTGTTTCCCTTGGGACTAACGTGTCCCCTGCGTTTCCCTTGCGTCCTTGGAAGTTCTTGTGGTTTCGCATGGACTTCCCTAGGTTTGCCGTTGGACATGTCCAATCAAACTTGGAGCTCCCCTTGAGTTTCCCTGGCGATTTCCCGGCTTCCCTTGGAGTTTCTCGGCGTTGTTTCGGGTTTCCCTCGGGTTTCCCTCAAAAATCCTCCCCCCCGCCCCACCCCCCCGTTCGCTAGTTGTGTGCAGGTTGTTGGCGGCTGCTCGTTGGTTGCCGGTCCCCAGGGCCTGCCGCATAGTCCCTGACAGTCCAGCCCTCCCCCCCCCCACTCCCGCCCCTACTCCCCCCCCCCCACCCCTCACCCCCCCCCCCTTCACCAGGGTTTCCCCCCCTGCTGCTTCAACGCGAGGAGTCGGGGATGAACCCCAAGCTGCTGCTGCAGGGCTTCCAAGAGCTCGGCCGGCTCTGGCCCACGCACCTCGGTTCGATCGAGCCCCGGCTGGTTTTTTCTCGCTGGGGTCAGCCAAACGTTGGCTCGTCTTTTTTTTGGTTTTGAACATCACCTTTGTTGCCAATCCCAAACGAGCTTCCTATTTGGTCGGGTGATGTTTTAGGTAGACTTCAACCATCCCTGCGTCTAAGTGTTCCTTGGGATAGTAGCTGAAAGTTTGGAGGTGGAGCTATACCATTTTTGGGGAAGCACCGTTTGGGGGCAAACAAAAGTTAACTGGTGCGGAATGGTTTCGCCACTGGTGAAGTGAACAGCGAACATATGTTTGTCGAACGTCCAAGCAGAACAGCTCCTTCTGCAAAAATGATGAACTTGGACCGCTGTTCGTTTCCTTTGGGCCAAAGGAAACCAACAAGCGTCCAAGTTGATCATTCTTCAGAACCTTCGAGTTTCGAGCCATGGGTCACAGAAGCCTCACCAGCCAGCCTGGCGAGCTTTCCGGCCCGGCAAATCCTTTTCCTCAATTTTTGTTCAATTTAAGTTACTGAGCAGGCATATCGAGACTTACCACTTGCCAGAACCACACCATTCTGATTGAATACGCATCATCTTAAGAAAGCAACAAACATGTGTCCAACTCCGAAAATTTTGCCTGCAGCCTGCGTGCTTTTGACGGCATTTGTTTGGGGAAGTCAAAGCGACCTCACAAATGGCGTCCGGCCTCGCCCATGAAGGTTCCTTTCATAGGGCACCCTGCTAATGTTTGGCGACACTCGGCTTTTGTGGGGAGCCTTTGTTTTGTGATAATGTACTATGCGAAGCCGGCCAGGCTTGCCTTTGGAGCCCCATGTGGGGTCGGTGCTTTTACATGAACACACACACACACACACCCACCCACCCACGCACGCACGCACGCACGCACGCACGCACGCACGCACGCACGCACGCACGCACGCACGCACGCACGCACGCACGCACGCACGCACACACACACACACACCCACGCACGCACGCACGCACGCACGCACGCACGCACGCACGCACGCACGCACGCACGCACGCCGCACGCACGCACGCACGCACGCACGCGCACGCACGCACGCACGCACGCACACACACACACACACACACACACACACACGCACGCACGCACGCACGCACGCACGCGCACGCGCACGCGCACGCGCACGCGCACGCGCACACGCACACGCACACGCACACGCACACGCACACGCACACGCACACGCACACGCACACGCACACGCACACGCACACGCACACCCACACACACACACACACACACCCCATTTGACACCGGAACAAAGCAAGAAACATGACTTCAATCTCCACCCAAATCTGCGTAGTGGCGAGAGCTGGCCAAAGCGAGCTCACAAGATCTTTTGCTTGGTTCCTTATTTACGATTTTCGAGGAGACTTTGCAAATGGTGTGCGTGTCATTTCGGAACACGAAATAGTAGAGATCAGAGCTTGGCGGGAATTCATGTCCAACCAACCAACCAGCCAACCAACCAACCGAGGTGGTGCCCCATGATCTTTTCAAAATCATAGCCACTTTCTGGTTTCCTTAAGTTTCCCTGTGGACTTGCAAGTTTTCCTATTTGCGGGGGATCTCAGTCTGGCCAAGCGAACATAAACTTCTTGCCGCGTCTTTGGGCAGGTTAGATGAGTCGCTGCAGGAGCGCTGCCGCGAGAACTGCAGCAAGGAGCGACCGGCACGGCTGGGATTCGGACGTGTAGATTTGGATTTTGGGAGTCCCAGTCGAGGTGCCCTGTTCTTGTTGTTCTAGGGGTTGATTCCCCATTCTTTTCAACCATCGTTCTTTTGAAAAGCCGGCTGTTTCCCCTGGGTGTTTGATGGTTTCCTGAAAAGAAGTATCCCTGGAAAGAATGGGGAAGGTACCCTAGAGTTGTGTTTGTTAGCAAAAACGACACCAAACCATGGGTTTTCACTTGTGTCAACTTGATGAGAAGCCAGTTTTTCAATCCCAAACCTGGTTTACTATGTTCATGTTTTGCAACCTACCTTCTAAGGATTGGCCGCGTGTTGGATGTGTCGCTGTGGAGGTTACCATTTCAGGGGTCCTTCTGAAGAGAAACCAAGTGGCTCCGCATGTAGTCGGTTCACGCAAGTGCTCATGCAAGTGTATTTAGTATGTATGTTTGTTTATGCTCAGGTACCGGCCAGGTGTCAATATCATTCAGTGCGACCCACTGCGACCGACCGACGGATGTGCGCCTGATACTCCGAATTGCTGGAACATAAAGGGCCCCCGAAGTCCCATTATGTACACGTATATATATATACGCATATACACACATGTCAGATGTACAGCACACATCTTGAACATATACCATCCATGTGTAGGACTTTCCGTCCTCCGCAACTTCTAGAATCCAGCAGACATGTTCCTTGAAGACATTAGTTTGCTTCATATCCCGAAATAATCAATGGGAACTTTGAAGACATGTACCTGAAGTGTGTACCTGAATTGTGGTTTAGTGCCTTTTGAGCTGGGATATCTTCCCCTTTTCTGTGGGCTCCAAAACCATTTTGAATTTCAGCGCCGTCTTAAACAGAATCAGCTCATCTTGTTCTGTAGCCCCTTGGGCCAAGACATCCCAAGCCACCGAAGCCCCCGGAAAACTAAAACGCCAGGTGCGGGCACGCATGGGGGAGTCCCTGGACGAGGCCTTGAGTAGCGGGAACGCCGCGAAGCAGAAGGCGCTGCTGAGCTTCGCCAAGGCGCGAGCGAGGCGGACGAGTTTTTCGAGAGGGCTCACTGTTGGACGGGTCTGACATTTTTTGATTTTTTTTTTAGGGAGTACCAATTGTGAAGCAAAGTCTTTGTCTGTAGTGCGTTGTTTGTTTTGATGTAGTTTGTTTATGGCTGGACTAGCTGAACAACTAGCTGAACATTTATGAAGGCTCCGCTTTTGACTTCCCTATTAAACACAACCCAGGAATGATTACATGACATGTTCAGGTTTTGGGAACCTTGCGAAAGCCATTGTTTTTGGGTGGGGCAGGTTCTCCATGTTGAGACATGCCCCCATACCTGTTGATTTTGATGGCGAGAGTTTTCCTTTGATCCTCCATCCTTGATACCCTCTCCCAGGTCCACCCTTTGAAAATCAGAACTCCATCAACATCGGCGCTTGCGTTTTGAACCAGGAGTACTATTCATTTGCCTGGACCCTCAAATTTCCATAACATTAGTTGTTGCAGTTATGGGGTAACTTCTCCTTGCATGGATAGTTTGAGGGTCCGGGTGGCGTGTTTGTCCATTGGGTACTTTGAGAATGGTTTCTTTTCCTGATTCTTCTCCAATTCGTTTACCCTTGCACCAAGGAACCGCGGGGGTACATTGGGCTTCCAAGCTTCTTATAACCCTTGTCCGATTCAGTTTGATGTTTGATAGTCAGATGGCACGGCAGGCGTGGTTCTCCCCCTTTCCACGCTTCCACGGATCCTGACAGAAGATCCCTTCAACATGTCCATGAATGCTCCATTCGGACATGAATCCCCAACGAATTCCGACCTCCAAACAAATCCCCATTTCGAACAGGTTCCTCCCCACAAATTCATTGCTCTATACCTGACCCATGCGTTGGATATATGGCCATCCGTTTTTCTTGGTCGGGGGAGTGCGGCGAGTGCGGCGAGTTTCGCAGGAGTTCGACGCCTGCGGGGAGATGAGCGGAGCCTTGGAGGCCGAGCTGCAGAGCAAGCTGGACGCCGCCGCCGTCTGAGCGAGCGCTCCCGCGCAAGCGCACGGAAGCGCGCGTGTTGTGCGGTTGGGGCGGTAAGCCTCGGCGGTGTTTTGCTGTTTGTGGGTGGGAAAACGCGGATGGTTGAGATGTGGTCACTCAAGAACTTGACTCAAGTGAAGAAATGTGAAACTTGAAATGTTGAGAGGGTTTGGGCGTTTTACTGTTTTCCGCTCAGCATGTTAGATTTCAACGGGCGTTGTCCAAATATCAGCTTGGTGAATCATACGCCGGGATCCGGGCAGAATTCAGGCTCGGTTAGCGCACAGACGAGAGTTCCGATGGACCAAGGCTAGGGCCTTGGCTTGGAACGTCTCAAGTTCTTTTTGAGGCTGCTTCAATGGGATTTCACGGAGGAGAGGAACAGTCCGCCCCTTAGCGTCCAAGGTCTCCTGGACGTTTTGTTTCATCATGTTTTGGTTCTGCCCGATTTCCGGGCATAGACCAAATCAACTTCGGTGTGGTGTTTCTTCCCAGCTTTCATTGAGCTTCATTTATTCCAACTTGTGCGAAAGGGATTAGCTTCACCTGCAGGTAGCTTGCCATTGTGCTCCCTTGTCTAGGTCCCCCAGCTAGGTGCCCTTCTCTCACCCTTTTTTTGGTTGGCAGGGTTCCCCTACTAAAATCGACTACAGAAAAGACTGTACGCTGATTCTAACCTCTCAAATCTGGAGGACCTAGTTGTGCTTCGGTCGCAGCTCCCTAATGCCACGGATGTCTCGGCCCCTCCTGCGGATCAGCCTCCCATCTCCCGACGAAGCTCGGGCACGGATGGGCTAAGCCCTCTGGATGGATGGGGTCTGAAAAGACGATGCTTTGGCCGACCGCTGCGGTGGAGAATGCATCTAAGGTGACAAAGTGTTCAATGATATGTGCAGAGAGGCTGATTTGTGCAACAGAAGAGGAGCCTGCTTTGATTCCTGTTCTCCGTTCCTTGAAGAATGGGATCTCGAAGAAGTGTGCAACATGGTTGGACCCGGCCAGTGTCGATGGTTCATTCCATCATCAATCGGGGGATTTCCGTTTCGGAAAACACGGCGGTCGCAGAAATCCAGAGCATTTGCGCAGATCTACTTGGGGTGTAGAACACAGCCGGCCAAACTGAGGTTTCAGCAGATTTTGCGGGAGCTGTTTGCCAAGCAGACCTTCCATCTTGAATTACGTAGCCTCGCTTCACTTTTGACACCTTCCAATGGTCCAAGCCAATTGAACATGGAAGGAATGTAAAGTCTCCCGGAGAGTGTCTGTTTCGCAACTAACGTACCCCAAAAGCGGAGGACAGTTTCCTCCACGACCTTTTGTCAACTTCCGGCTTGGGTTCGTAGATGGCTTGCATCAACGAGCCGGTGCTTGGAAGGGAGAGGTTTGCCTTTGGAGAGGGCGCTAAGGAGCTAGAAGCTACCAGCAGTTGGTGGCGGCTTTTAGGCGGTCTTCCTTCTTCGGCTTCTCTCGGATTTTGTCAGGTACACTTGCGCACCAGCAACTGGGATGCTGCCGACCATGCCTGCAGGACGGCAACCCCGACTTGGTCGACTGATGGCCCTTCCCCAGAAAAAGGCCAATGGCCCCCTGGTTGGAAGGGTCAAACAGTCAAACACGGAGCAGCTTCATGTCCACTGCGAGGAAATTTGGTGTTGGCACAGCAAACTGACCAGGACCAACGGGTGATCAAAGCAGGGAACCCACGGCTACAGGGAACCTGACCAAACCACACGTTCTGGAGAATCGCCAAGTCAAAACTGCGTTTGGACCCCCCCCCCCCCAACCTGCCCAAAGCCCGACCCCAAATCACATGCACTCCACAAGCAATAGGGATCCCTGAAGCTTGAAGCCAGGGCACGGATTCCAGCGGCAGTTTGTGCCATCAGCAACACGCAAGAGGCATCCGCAAAGCACACTCCAAGGGGTGTGAACAAAAAGTCCAGGTCTCAACAAATCAAAATCTCAGGCAGATCTCAGCAACTCCACCAGGTCTCACAAGTTTGGCCTCTTGGGGAACCCGTGTGACTGGGTCCCCGGACGGCAGGCAGTGTCTCAGCCTTCAGCCAGAGTGTGAAGATTTGCTGCTGGAGGCGCGGGAAGAGACTCCTCCAAGGCTCAGTTGGTCTCAGTTGGCCACAGGATTGTTTGGGTCCAAATGGTTTTGCTTCTGTGTTCAGGACTTTAGGTCTTAAGGGAAACCACCATTACAATCCCATCCTAATTATTTGGGCGCTAACAGCTCATAGCACGGTCTCTTTTCGAGGCTCGGAGCTGCAATTTGTTACAACCCGTCCCCACTGGGGCTAAGCAAATACTAATGTGATGATGTCTGAGTTTGGTTTTGCCTTCCACAACCCCACTCTTGTCCCTTTCCTAAAGGAATCACCTGTGTATTGGGTAACACCATGGAACCCGTCGAAAAACCAAGGGAACCACCCCTCAAAAACCAAAACCAAACTGGCTTACCCGCCCTTCTAGCAGAACTTCCCTATTCCAGGTCCCTTTTTGGTCAGAAAACCACGCACCACTCAGAGTAAACCCCAGGTTTCTGTACAAAAGGATTGAACAGAACGGGAATTCAGCCTTTGGCGAAATGCCCTTCACAACCACCGGCTACGCAACCGCCCTTCATCCAAAAGCAATCCATGGCCCTTACCCTTCTTTGAGTATGTCGTTCTTTGAGTCCTTTGGGTGGTCAGAAGGAAACCCAAAGCCCAGGCCAGCGCCCCTAAGTACTGGGGTCAAATCTCGGGGTCAAAGTACATCCTCCAAAGGTACCAAGGGCGCCGCCTGCCCCCCCCCCCTGTCCCCCCCGCCCCTGGGATCTTCACAGGTGGCGATGGAGTTCAATCGCAAGGACCGCCAGCCCTCGCTGGCCGAGGCCATCGGAGCGGGAAATCTGGAGCTTTGAGTCGGATTTTTGGCATGGGTTGGTCTTTAAATATGGCCTTCGGCCCCCGCCCGGACCACGGGACGCTTTTCCCATTCAGTGGCGAAAGTCACCTTGTTGCCTGGTTTCCCCAGTTGAAAAGGACCTTTTGATCAACGCCCATGTCTCTTGAGCGTGCCTCCAGCGTGCCTCCATTTGCAGTGGAACATGGAGTAAGGAACCCAGTTTTTCCAGTGATCCCCACCCCTCAAGATAGAATTGGGGAATGACATTGGGACCCCCCCCCCCCCTCAGAAGGTGGGGATGTTGAGGGCGCCACGCCTTGACATCGCCCATCCGACACCCCTTCGACGAATTCGAGTTCGGCGAGGCGTGCGTGCGCGTGGCCCTGGAGTGCCGGGACTCGGGCCAGGGCCATGGGGTGCTGGCAGACATCCTGGCGCAGATGGGCCAGGCCCCAAAACACCCGCGGGACGCGCGACGCGGGACGCGGGACGCGGCTCGTGTCTTCGGGGCGCTCCAAGGCGTTCTTGAGGGTGTCTGCAGTAGATAGGCTTCCCATTTGTTTCATGTGGAAGTGCGCCTTTTTTGTAGATTGGTTGGGGTCTCCTCTTGGTTCTCCTTAATTTAACCCCAAAACAGGGGTGCCTTAAAAAACAACGCCCATTTCCCCCGGAGGTAGACGCAGAAACCCACTGGTTGATGTCCCCCAAGAAAACCCCCAGGGAAGTCTGGCTTCAGGTACTCAAGAAGTCCAACCCTGGTCTGTGGTTCGAAATTGCAACCATTCTAAGCCCCTTCCGAACTTGTCCGGAGAACCCAAAACAAACGTCTGGAAAGGACCTGGGTTTGGAAAAGGATAGTTGGAAAGAATGGGGCTAGAAGCCATGGGATGGGATGTCGCTTGGCTCTTTCGCTCTGTGGACTGTTCCGACGGATCGCCCTCCCAAGAAAACATCCGACCTGACACCCTATCCCCGTTCACGCATAGAATCTAACTCAGTCTTCCAATGGGTTTCTTACCGAGCTTATCATGGTTTACACCATGATGTTTCCTCCGGCTACCTACTATAGCGCAAGCTATGGGTTTCCTGCTAAATGGGGCACTTGCAAATGCCTCTGACCTGAGCGAAGTTGATTGCAAACTCACAAAGGTTTGGGTTTACCACCTCACGAGGAAGCTTCCTTTCTTGCAGTGAATGCTTACAGTTCACCGATGTCAGATGATCTAGTATTTGAAGAGAAGCCAATAAGAAAGCAAGCAGTTTTCAGGGTCCGTATAAACGGACATCACAAGTGGAGCCCCAATAAGCAATGTCTATCGACCACACGCGCTATTGCGAAAGCACTCTTTTGTTTGGGCTTGCTAGGGATAGTAATGGACCCTTGAATAGGGGTGTTACACTGATAATAATCGTGCGGGTTTTTGGTGACCAAGGCCCCCACAAGGAAATCAAGGGAAGGCCCTCTTTACATGGCGGAGGCTTTGGGAGGCCCTTTTGTTGTATCACAGAACTGGTTGTTTCCCACAGCCCTGACGTTAATTGCATGTTAAGGTATATGACAAAATACGAACCACAACTCCCCCCCCCCCAACCACATTTTAGGGTAGACAAAATATGAAACATCACCGCCACCGTAACCGCCACCGCCACCGCCACCGCCACCACCACCGCCACCACCACCACCACCACCACCACCACCAGCACGCCCCCTTTTCCAACCCCTGGTTTTTGGACGGTACTTCCGGGCCCATGATTATACCAGTATCAAAGTCACACCCCAAGTGGCAGATGAAAGAAACACAACCCCAAAGACTGACTTTGATAACCCCCAGTTAAAAAACAGAATGATTACACCAGTACTTGGGTGTGGGTTAAAATTAAACTGCTAGGGGACCGCAGGTTTCAGTCCATGTTTCCATTCACATTTTGGGGTTACTCTATTCTTGACCCACACCCACTTGGGATTTTGAATGAGGCTGTGGGGTGGTGCTGGTGGCCGGGTGGTTTTTCAGGTACATGACAAAAACTGTGAACCAACCCCCTTCCCCCCCTCCCCTCCCCACCCCACCCCTTGCCCCCCCCTCCCACCCCCCCCTTCCCCACCCCCCCCGCCTTCCCACCCCCCGCTTGGGGGTTGCCACGGGGAGCCGCCGCCGGGTGCTTCCGAATTCGGGCTTCGCTGTCGCAGGCGGAGGCCTCCGT